TTTGATCGACTAAGTTTTGCTGAAACTCCTTCAAGAGAACCAGCTACAGGCCAACCAAATGCATCACCACAATTTGGTAGGCAATCTCTTGACATTCGGGATGTGGTTAAGGATTCTATGAACAGAGAAGCTCAGAGGTTCTCAGCTGGACCTGCAGTGAAAGAAGAGGTGACAGAATCGATGTCGAAGCCCAGGGATTCCCCAAGGCCAGTTCAGACTTTGAAAAACTTTGATGGGGCTTATGATTCAGGCCCAAATGGGAAGCAGAATTTGTCTGTTGATCTTAAGGAATCTCTCAGAGTTCTTGCTAAACTTCGGGAAGCTCCTTGGTACTCAACTGAACATAGGGAACTTACAAGATCATTATCATATCATTCAAAGGACACTTCTACATTATCAGTCTCGAAAGATGCTCCTCGTTTCTCATATGATGGGAGAGAAACAAATCATGTACCCTTTGAACAGCGAGACATTTCCAAATCCACTCTTAAGCTTAAAGAGCTACCAAGATTTTCCTTGGACAGTAGAGTTAGTCCAGTACGAAGCTTGAACTCAGAACCAAAATCTAACTTCTCCTCAAAATCTATGCAGAAGGATAGTGGTAATACCAATGCAAAGTCACCAACTATGCAGCAAACATCAGGGATTCCAGCTCGTCCTCCTAGTGTTGTGGCAAAGCTAATGGGTCTTGATACACTACCTGGTGCCATGTCATCAACTGACAGCAAGATGGGGTTGAGCACTTCTTCACAAGTTGAAGAACCTGTTTCTTTTCCAAGATCTTCAGAAGTTTCTGATCCGTACAAACCTATCCGAACATCTAATACCTCTAAGAACCTGTGGAAAGAACCTACTTCTCCTAAGTGGAGAAACCCTGATATGGCTATGAAACCTATATCCAGGTTTCCCATTGAACCAGCACCCTGGAAGCAACCTGATAGGGCTCGAGTGTATGAGAAACCGATATCCAGGACAACAAAAACTCCAGTAAAGCCTGCCCACCCCTTTCCTTCTGTTTACAGTGAGATAGAAAAGAGATGGAAGGATCTAGAATTCACCCATTCAGGCAAGGATCTAAGAGCTCTTAAACAGATATTGGAAGCAATGCAGGCAAAGGGCCTCCTAGAGACAGAAAAAGAGGAGCAGGATTCAAATTTTACTGGTCAGAAAGAGCATCACCAGAAGATTGCAAGTCCTGCACAGAGTGCAAAACTGGCAAACCAGAGAATGCGGCAGACTGATCAAGTGACTGCTCCAACAAAGAGAGGGATAAATTCTTCAAGGAATTTTGAATCCCCAATAGTTATCATGAAGCCAGCAAAATTAATGGAAAAATCTGATATTCCTTCTTCTTCGATGATTCCACTTCATGGTGGTGACTCTGTCAGTAGAAAGGGTAATGCTATGAGCAGGGCTGCTAAAGAACATCAACCTAGAACTAGTTATGGAAGCAGTCCAGTGAATCCCAATGAAACAAGAAGAACTTCGAAACCTCCACAGATTTCAACAAGGTCCCAACAGCTTCCTAAAGAGATCATCTCAGGCTCAATAAAGAGCTCAGGATCCATCAGTCCAAGATTGCAACAGAATAAACTGGAGCTAGAGAAAAGATCTCGGCCGCCCACACCTCCATCTGATTCCAACAGATCGAGGAGACAGTCAAACAAGCAACATACAGAGGCTAGTTCCCCAGGTGGAAGACGAAGGCCAAGAATTTCAAACATCCAGCAACATGATGAACATGTGAGTGAGATCAGTAGTGAATCAAGGAATTTGAGTTGCCATGGGAATAAAATTTCTGGTCAATCCATTGGGAATGTGGTAGCAGAATCAAAAGTGGATTTCGAAGTCACTAGTTTCGAGCGCTCACTTGAGATGACAAGCAGCCCGAGTTCATCTATTGATGCATCCAATTACCTGAGATGTGACTTGGTAGAGAAGGTAAGAAATTTCCATTTATTTGTGCATTTTATAGAGTACTTCAAGCACACCATTACACGCTTGACACTGTGACTTCCATTTCAGAAATCAATTCGGGTGCTCTCTGAGGATGAAATGTTAACTGAACCTGCTCCAGAGTATCCAAGTCCGGTCTCGGTTCTTGATAATGCTGTATATATGGATGAATCACCCTCTCCTGTGAAGCATACTCCAAAAGTCATGAAAGGTGCTGCTTTCCCCTAGTATTTTTGTGAAGAAATTATAAGCACGTCTACATAAGCAAATATGAGTGGAAATAACAAATGAAACTAGCACCTTATGTGGATGACATGTTGGGGATATATATTTAGATTTTGTGAGGTGAAAATAAACGTCTGATTAGGAATATTCACTTTGTAGTGATCTATCCATAGCTATACAAATAAGTGAATGCCAGCAGGATTTTAAATAATACAACAGGAAAAATAAGTAGAAGAGAGACTAAATCTCTGAATAAAATATGCCAAGGACAGCCTAAGGAAAAATAGAAGTTAAGGAAGTCTTTTTGGATGTTAGAAGTGTGAGCAGGATCTCTCCAATAACAGCGAAAGCAAATGCCCAAGCTTGGCTCCTTAGGAGTTTCAGACCCAACTAGTTCAAGAGACTATAATCACTTTGAAAGAACAAAGTGAAACATGAATAGTAACATGTTAAGCTAAAAAGGCACTTACATCTATGTGTACATCTATATGGTCTTTATATGCACTAGATTTGTCAGTTCTGGCTATTATGCTTTCATGTTCTGGTCACTTATGTCAGCTGGAATAACGGAAAATGGTAGTAAACCTTTAATAATTCTCCTCATCACAATTTTGGCACTGAAAAGAACTTGCTTGCTCAAGATCAGGCCATCCACACTGGACACCAATTTATTCACTGCACTTGGATCTCCTTTGTTTTTCAAGACTAAACATATTGGAGTTCTAATTCTAGTAGGAAAATTAAGATCAATAGCAAATATTTTAAAGCTGCTCAAATGAATGTATTATAGTGAACATTCAGCAAGAAATATCAGATACGAGTCTCTATTATGTTGTCAGAGTCCCTTGTCCTTCTAGAGATTAAAACAGTCCCGACTATTCAGGTCTCAGAATATATACACTGCTTAAGAAGTTGGATTCTATTTGTTTGTCTCATTTCTGTTATTTTGTGACAGATGAAAGCTGCAACACTGCTGATAAATTTTCCAGTCCGCCACAGTGTGATCGATCTAATACTCTTGTGATTGATGCCACCAGTTCTGGTCTCTCCTCAGAAATCAATAGGAAAAAGTTGCAAAACATTGAGAATTTAGTTGAGAAGCTCAGGAGATTGAACTCCAACCATGATGAAGCTCGCACGGATTACATTGCATCTCTCTGTGAGAACACAAACCCTGACCACAGATACATCTCAGAGATCTTATTGGCTTCAGGACTCCTTCTCAGGGATCTTGGCTCAAGCCTAACAAGTTTCCAGTTCCATCCATCTGGTTACCCAATCAACCCTGAGCTGTTCCTAGTCTTGGAACAAACCAAGGCAAGCACTTTACTCAAGGAGGAACTCTGCAATGATAAGATGAGGCAGTCGAATCCAAAGGAAAAGATACGTAGGAAACTCATCTTTGATGTTGTTAATGAGAGTCTTGCTGGAAAATTAGTGCTAGTGGGACCTTCGTACGAGCCATGGTTGATGTCCCAGAAGCTAGCAAAGAGCACCCTGAATGCTCAAAGGCTTCTAAGGGACTTGTGCTCAGAGATAGAACAACTTCAAGCTAAACCATCAAAATGCAACATGGAGGATGAGGAGGATGAGTGGAAAAACATACTGCTGGATGACGTGGTGCATCGTTCAGAGAGTTGGACGGTTTTCACAGGTGAGGTATCGAGTGTAGTCCTAGACGTGGAGCGGATGATCTTTAAAGATTTAGTTGATGAGATAGTAAGAGGTGATGGTTCTGGTTTGAGAGCAAAACCAACTAGGCGTAGACAGCTCTTTGCAAAGTAGTCCCATTTCTGTCATTCCATTCTTGACTTCTCTTTGTTTTCCTAATTATATTGAGTAGTAAAATAATTCAGGAATACTCATTTGTGTGATCTATTGTAAAGGAACAATTGTCACTTAATTGTATTACCAACATATCTAATCAAGACCACCAGTGCAGAAAAATGTACTATATTCTGTATTATTTAGCTTTCCATTGTGCAAATTAAACATTCCTGTAGTATGATTAATTTGCACACGCATTTTCTTCCTTTCAAAATCATACACGATATATAGTACTATTAGACAATTTTCACCTCATTAGTCCAATCAATTTTTTATCTCCTTAGTTGGTATTAGGCTATCTTTACATCATTAACTAGAGGTCTCGGTTCGAGCCCTAATATTGAGAAAATTCTGTTGGGAGCACCACCCCCGAATGGACTTTGCATAGCGCGATCTGAATTTAGTCGGAGCTTCAATGTGGGCTCCGGACACCGGGTGGAAAAATCCTGTTGAAAGCTATTTTTGTATTTCTTCATCAAATGTAAATACTTGATAGGCAAGGATTTCTCTTTCTTATTGTTTGGCTTTAGATGTTTTAAATTCTTTTTGAATATGATTTAAGAGTTTAAGTATTTAATTTAGTTGATTTGGGCAATAGGCCCAAAATTGTTTTTGTTCTTGTAGTTACATTTTTCTATTTTCTATTTAATAAAAGGCTTTGCCAAATTTCAAATTTTTTTTTTAAAAAAGTATTTAATTTTAAAATAAAAGATTTTATAAAATATTAATATATATCGCAAAGGTGTGTAGTATAAATACGTACTTAATAGATCAGCCCATTAGCACTAGTGCAAAAATTTCTTGATTTTTGAACATCACCTTTATTATTAATGTTTTCATAATCATTATCAATATGCCTCCGTAGCATAGTGGTAGTGCGTTCGCTTCGTAAGCGAAAGGTCGCGAGTTCGATCCTCGCCGGGGGCTATTGTTTTTTTTTTACATCTTCTTTTCCACCATGCTAACTTTAATTTTTTCCAATATATCTTTTATTCAATCTTGAAAAAATAAACAATCAAAAACACCATATCTTAAAAAAAAAATGTCACTACTACCTTTAGTTCAAAAACCATTAACCCCTTTTCCTTCTTCCAATTTTTCTAACAAACCAAAACACAAAACCCAAATGTCCCTCAATTTCACCAGAAGAACAACTCTAATTCTTTGCCCAACAATTTCAATCACCCTTCTAAGTGAACAACAAAATGCCAATGCATTTGATTTTAGAATCACAGTTCCAGACCAAACACTTGAAGAAGCAGAGGATGGAATTCAAAATCATGCCAATAATTTATTACAAGTCAAAGAATTATTTGAGGGAGAATCTTGGAAAGAAGGTCAAAAAGCATTGAGAAAAAAACTCAGCTTTATTGAAACAAGATATGTATACTATAATTCAAGCTAAACCAGGTAAACAAAGACCTGAATTGAGGAAAATGTATTCAATTTTGTTCAATTATGTTACAACAATGGATTTTGCAGCTAGGGATAAGGATGTGCCACGTGTATGGGAATGTTATGATAATATTGTCATAGCTCTTAACAATCTTATGTCAAGATTATTATAGTTAGTGTTTTCTGGTTCGACTAATTTCACTAAGTATTTATCGCCTTCCATCTGCAATAAGTATAAGATAATTCTGCCTACTAAGACTAGAACAGATGGGAAAAATAATCTAGTATTTCATTTGTGGGGTGTTTTTTTTAAATCGAGTTTTGTTTATTATGTATGATGTAATTAAGAGTTACTCTTATAATCAGAGTTATGTATGTAATTCTTTGCGATTGAGTTTAACTTATATACTGTATGTCTAGAATTTTATCTTGAACTAAAATGCAATTCTTTCAAATTTATTGAAAATTTTAAGGGATCGTTTGGTAAGATGTATTTAAGAAATTAATAGATTTTATTTAGTATTAGAGGATGTATAACTAATACAAAACAACTGATGTTGTATGTTGAATCTTGTTATTTGTTGGCTACAATTTTGCAAAATTATATACTCTATTTGCTTCTTTTTATTTGTCATATTTTTTTTTTAGAGTGAAATTAAATAAACTTTGACCAATATTTTATGATATATATTTTCATCATATTAATATGAAAGAACTGTAACTTATAGTATTTTTCATATATATATTTTTCGAACATTCAAATTTAAAATTTAAATTATTAAATTAATTCTAATTCAATTTAGTTTAAAAAATTAGTCAGAGAAATTATCGTAATGAAATGTGACAAGTAAAAAAGGAACAGAGGGAGTATATATAAGCCACTTAGTTGCTATGTATATATCATTACAACAAAAATAATTTTTAGTGGTAATAAACATACACATTAACACAGAGTGCTAAAACCTTACCGGCATTAGTTAATTGTCATTGAATCCAATATCGCTTAGGGACATTTACAAAAAGTATTAATTGCCATTAAATATACATTTAATAGCAATTAAACTATTATTATTAATTAATTATCGTTAAAAGATCATTAACTTTGGTATAGTGTGTGTGGACTATAGCTATAACATGCTTCAAGTGAGGGAAAAGTAGTTTGTTACAACTTTTTAGTTGTCCCCATGTACCAATGGCAGCTTTAATTCAGGCTTTACACAACAACTCATCAACATTTGGAATATACCTTTCCATCTTTGAGAAATTTGGAAGCAAAGTTATAATAGAGACTCTTTGACTGATATAATTCGAACCAAAAAGTTTTGGAATTTGTTGGTACCATATACCCTTTTCTTTCTTAATTCAGACTTGGGCTTTGAACTCAATATTTATTAACTATTCCGAAAATAAAACATAAGAAAAAATGTAATGGACCTTGACCATGAGGGTGTCAAGGGGAGAATTTAATTGAATTTGAGCGAGTCAAAATGGACTGAATTAACATATGTACAAATTGTACCTAAGTTAGTTGCTTAATGCTATATATATATAAAGAGATCAAGGGACCTTTGAACCTATCGAGGTGGGATTCGATCACTCACACACCTAAGACTGAACATTTGGAGCGTGGACAATATAAGATGGGGGCTCAACATTGAAAATAATGAATTGGGTCGATCTGACTATGATACCATGATAAAGAAATGAACTTTAGACATAATGCAAACCAAAAAGCAAGCTCGCGAGGAAAGAATTATCCTGATGTGAGATATCCAACAACTTATTCATCTAAATAAAAGACTTTAATTTTTTTTATTAGCATGTAATTAGATTTGTGCAATCAAACGTATTACTAAAAATAATACGTCCTAAATCTATAAAAATAAATTAAATATTGGACCACAGCATCTGGTAACATTAATACAACCTTAGCCTTTTCACGTGGAAATTGCATTTTCCTTTCGCCAGAGGAAAAAGAGCCATTAAGGGTGTGCTGTACCAAGAAAAATAAATATTTTTAATTTTTCTTTGTTTGATTTATTAAATATTTTAGATAATATTTTTTTTAGAAAAATAAATTTCTTAAAAGTGAGAAAAATAACATGTTTTCATCAATGATAAGAAACTTATTTTTGTAAAAATAATAATATTATTTTCATAAAATTTTATCCAACTAATTATTAAAAAGTTAAAAATATTTCTCAGTCATACCATACCGAAGATATCCTTGATGTCAATCAATTAACATCTCTTGAACAAGGATAATTCCGCTACGAAGGAGAAACGAAGATTTCATTTTTCATGATCGAGCTAGTACTCAAAAATAAATTGCCCCCTTATCACATGCATGTACAAACTTACAATTATAATAATAAAAGCAATAGAATAGTATTATAGTACTCCATTCATTTTAAAAAGAATAATTTATTTTTTTATCTGTTTTCAAAGGTATGACCCTTTTTCTTTTTTTACAACACTTTAGTTTCAGTTTTCATGCGATATTAGAGGCGTATTCAGAATTTCGAAAGGATGGATGCACTATTACGAAACGATGCATCTAAGATATAAATTTGATCGGTTTGACCTTTACGTTCTTAACACTGAAATGTTAAATTTTAAAAATTATAGGTCCAACATACATAATACTACTAGTTTTAAATTTTAATACACACATTTGATTTAATTATATAAAAATTTTACTGTGCTAATTTTTTTAAGGAATTTCCAATGTTATACACTTGAAATTTTTGAAAGATTAAGCAAAAAAAACAAAAGAAAATTTGATTGAAACGCCAAAAGTGTTACCGATAACCACTTGGAGGGGTGTTACTAATAAAAATAAGATAGATATAAGATTTAAATTTCTATCTTTGCTTAGAGAGGTGCACCCAATCATCGCATTATTATATGCTACTTTTAACGTAGGTTCACACCTTCTATATTTAAATATTTTTTTTAAAAAAAATATAACACTACTATATAGTATAATCTAGAGAGGGGAGCATGGGTTCACATGAACCCACAGAATCCCCTCTAGATACGCCTCTGTTTTGATACATTGTCATAACTTTAATTAATTTAGGATCATAAGATTGATTTTTTTTTTTTAAAGTTAATGTCAAATTAAACTAGACTGTTTTTTTTTTTAAAACGGAGGAAGTATTATATTATTCTCTAAAGAGGACCACATAAACCTTTTTTCTGCTTTAGAAAAAGAACACCTTATCCCAAGTTGGAGTTTGTTGCTGCTATGGCCATTCTTTCTTCTTTTATTTTATTTTTTATGAAAAAAAAAAAGAATTCTTGGATCTAGTGTCATGAATATGAATATAATGTTGATAATATAATATACTATATAATATAGAGTACTGATGCAATCCAATCTCTGTCCATTTGTTTTATCTCCTTTCCCTTTTATACATAGAAGAATTTTAGATTCCAATATACACTTTCTTTTTCTTGCTTCCATGCTTGTACTCATTTCATATAATATAACCCCTTCCTTTTTCTCTTTAGGACAGTTACTCTTTTTTTTTTCTAGGGTTTCTTTTTTAAGTTGTCACTATTACAATTATATACTTCATCATGTTGACCAACAATTCTTAATCATAAATAGGAAATTGATTGAATAACTTATTTGTCTTCTTATGATATAATATCTGTTACGTTAGGAGGAGTCGAATTAAAGTCTTGCGTTCTAGCCCTTGACCCATAGTGGAAGTTTCAACATTAGGACAATTTTTAACCATACAGAAAAGTTGAAAGGATAAATTTGGGCATTATAAAATGATATTGAGTGTAAAAATACAATTTTTTTATTATGTTATTTTCTCTTCTTGCTCTCTACTTGAGACAATAACTTCATTATATATAAATAGTCATGTCTTTTATGTTCAATTGGGATTGGACTCTACTAAATCAATCAATCTTATCAATGTCTAAATACCAATCCTAAGCTAATTAATTAGGCTCTACACCTGCACATTCCAATTCTATAACATATTTCACACGTTGGAGATTCATTACATAAGGGAAAATATTAGACGCTTCACTAATGACAATGGACATGAAAGGACCAAAAGTGTAAAAAAAAATAGAAAAATTAGCAGTTTCAACCACTGCAGGGACGAGAGAGAGTTGCTCGGATGGTAAACACCCCCACTTTCGTGAGTTTGAGTAACCAAGAGAGCAAAAAAAGGGGGGGGGGGGGGGGGGGGAGCTCCTGGGGAGGGGTTTTAAAAAAAAAACAGTGCGGGGACAACTTAATTAATTTCGAAGAGTACATGGACAATATTTATTCGCCTTACTTTTTTTTACTCTGTTTAAAAAAGAATGTATTTTTTTTCTTAATTTGACAAGCAGCCAACATGATATGTTTAATACCTCAAGATGTTCCAAAAAAATTTATGCCCTCCTATTTTGATGCATACAAGTAGATATTTACACTTATATAAATTAAACAAGTAGACTTACATATATCCTAGGTATGTCGTAATATACATGTAGAATGCGAATTAGCACGTAGTAGACATGCGTCTTTAATTAGTTAATAGTAAATCAAACTTATTTTGATAATATTAATTAAGTGGTTGATGAGCGTAGGAGGTGGACTTTAACATACATCTATATGCATGAGGGGAAATATACCATTCCTATATATATGGCTACTACTATTCTACTTCTATGTCTATATCAAGCTAATTAATTATTAGTTTAGATACAAGGGGTTAATTAGGTCGGCAAATAGGGTATAGTAATAATTAATATACTACTTAGTAACAACTAACAAAGAATTACTTCTTTAATTTTGCAGGCATGCAGTTTCATAAAATTCATCTCCGTTTATTAGGAATGTTGAAATATGTGATCATCTCATCTAAAAGTTTAAGTTGTTAGAGAAAGCATATTCAATATGCCTCCTGATTATGTGTGGGCGTGCCTCTCTTTCTATAGGCCAAAGACGTGACTCTGATACCATATAAAACTATGTGTGACAATCTCATATGATATTCAATACTAGTTGGATGTAGTATGGAGAGAAATTGTCAACATTATACATTAATAATATAGATTATTTTCAAGCTCCAGGAAGCAACTTTTAGATGCTTTTGGTCCCAAATATCGTTGTGGTCTCACAAACAATTAAGTCCAAGATCTGCCAATATATTCTAACTCATGATCAGACTCATATAGGTTCTTAATTACTTCCAATAAATAACTAGCAAATTAGAGCAGTGAAAAAAAAAACTGATTGCAATTTATAGAGAAACAACCTAATTTTGTTTATATGAATAGCTTGCATAAAAAAATAAAAAATAAGGAAGTATGTTAGTGATTGCTCATTATATAACTACAACAAAAACAACTTTTAATAGCAATAAATATACACATTAATAAAAAGTGTTAAAATCTTTACCGGCATTAGTTAAATGTCATTAGATTCCATATCGATATAGGTTTTAGGGATATTTTCAAAGAGTGTTAATTGTCGCTATATATATATAATGGCAATTAATTAGCTATTTAATTAGCTATTGATCATTTTTGGTGTAGTGTATATCTCCAGTGCCACCCGACTCTAAGAAAGTGAAAATCTGATAATGAGTGGCAGTGAGACTCGAACTCGACCCCTATTCATGCTCTTAAACCGTAAGACACTAAGACTCATACTTACAAGAGCAAAACTTTGAGACGAGAAGTTCTTCTTGTTATCAGGAAGAAGAATATATTTATAAAGACAATTACAAATTTCAACTAATTCGTCTAAACCTAATTAGATATGAAAGAAACTTTTTGTTTCTCTCGTTAAATTAAAGAAGATGATGAAGTAATTAATTATATTACTAGTTAGGTCTATAATTAGTACACAACTAAGCATGATATGTTATGTATCAATTTTACTTGACAAAATTGAACTTGAATAGTTTCGTTACCTTTTATAAGATATTTTTTTTGGCTAAAATCAATTCAAACATTGTGGTTGGATCCTATTATGGATTTTTGACTATATTCTTCATAGGGGCATCTTATCTCTTCCTTCTCCGAGCTCTGGTAATTGAAAAAGAAAAATGAGAAGAAGATATCAACAACAACTGGTTGACGTAATTACGTGAATATAGTTCCAGATCTGTTGCTATCATATTTGCAATTACCTTAAGGTTGTGAGGAGTCAAGAACAAACCCAACCTTTGCTTCGATTAGAGTTAATTTCTCCTCTTCTACTATCGAGATTTCGGTTAAACCATGACATATTAATGATGCAAATCCAAGGAGTACTGCTTATTCAAGAAAAACTAAAATGAAAATATTATTGCTAAACACACTTTCAATTTGTATAAAAGGTTAATCCAATACCAATAATAATGTAGATTTATACCACTTAGAATCACCCAAAAACAAAAAAAAAACTACAGATTAATATTGTATATTTCAGAATAGAGATAAAACTATATGGAACAAGAAATAGAATGATTCACTTTAATTATTTGTTGTACCTGTGAAGAAGGAATAATGTAGCATGATTATGTTTGCTCATGAACAATCCAGGACAACAACTTATAATTCAAAATATTTGAAGTAAAGACGAAGATTCATTTCCTCCACTTGATTTAGAATTAAATTGCGCGACCTTCATCATGTGGTTGATTATCATCATCATCATCATCATCATCATCATCATCGTCATCATCATCATCTCTTGAAGTCATCCATCTAGGATCATCATTGAGACTAAAGGGTTTTATTTGGGAACTGATCAAATTAAGAGTTGGCATCACAAGTGGATTATTGTGTGAAGTATTTGAGCTTAAGAAATTGAAATGGTTCATATTAGCCCTGGGATCATGACTCTCAATGGGATGATGATTTGTCATATAATTAGGAGATGGAACTATAGGTTGAAATGTTGTTGTTATTGGATTGAAATACAATTGAGAACTCAAAGGAAAAGGCGAAGATGATGATCCCAATGATAGAGGGAAACTAGTATTTTGATGAGATTGATGATCATCATCTATTTGGGATGAAAATGAATTATTGTGTCCAAAATGACCTAAAGATAAATTTGAATTAGGCTGATCATCCCATTGATAGTTATAAGAATTGAAAGGCATGCCTGGTAAATTAGATGATCGATGATTGCCTAATGTAAAGACATGATTATCCTCTTGATTTGATTCCTCATGATTTGAAGCAATTGACTTGTTTTTTCCATGATCCAAATAAGGTGTACTATTCGCATTGAACCATTGAGAACGAACTTGTTGGACATCAGAGTACTCCTCATGGGGTGGTTGTTGAAACCTAGTGAAGTATTCAGGTGGTACAGGAAGTGGTGGAAGAGTATCGATATCAAGTTTAGTTGCTTCTAGTAGCCAATCTACAACTTTACTAGGTTGGCTCAGACCAAGCCTGTCTTGAAGATCATACAATTGAATTGCAGTTGGAACTGAAAGTCTAATTCTTCGATCTCTAAGCCCCCTTATCGTGCACACCTTACTATGCCTATCTTTCCCTCCAAAAGTACGCGATACGCGTACTATTCTTGGGTTTTTATTAACTCCCCATTGCCTTGAACTTGATGGTGCACTAGTCGTCTTTGAGCTCAATTTACTATCATTCGATTCTTGCTTCGTCTGAAAATTATTTCCACTTGATGAATTCATGATATATATCTCATATATCGTTCATCATCATCATCGATCTAGTAGAAATCAACAACATAACGAAAAATATCAAGCATCTATTAGATCGAGATAAAATATGAAAATTTTCTTGTGTACATAGTGCAATTTTTGGGGAAAATTGGAGTTGTGATTAATATTAGGGTAACCTCCAAAATCATTTCACTACCAAGACTTTGTAAGAATGACTAAGATCTAAAAAAAGAAATAGATGTTTAAAATTTTGTATAAACAATTACTAAAAGAGTTATGAATTGTGCTTACATAATTAGGTTTTGTAGAAGATAAACTACAACTTGTATATATCTTTGAGTGGCTAGCAAAACCTCAACATGGAATTAACAACTCTTGATAACATTTAACTTCTTTTATAATAATTTCCCCCAGCCTTGAGGCAAAAATGAGTTTATGGATCAAATTTGACCAAGAGAGAATAAATTTACAAGGATAAGTTATGGTTTGGAGAAAAAGAAGAAATGTTGGATTCTCATTATGTCATAATATTATCTCAGAAGAGGAAAGTAGAAGGCCACGTGGCGCTTACTCGTGCTGACACGTAATTCAATCCTATGGTTGAGAAAAATGAATAGTTTAAGTTTTATGTATCGACTGTATACAGACTTTTATATTATTTGTATATGTAGTCGCTATCGATAACTCTTTTTGTCCATAGGCTAGTTAAATAATAATGCAATAGAAATTTAATTTCTCGTATTTAGACTACTCCATCATGAAAGTGTTTTTTTTTTTTTTTTGTTTTAACAGTCAATTAGTCAAGAAGCTAGTCATTCTACCAGTTTCATATTTTAATTTTAAGTTTTGATACTATTTAATGATGCTAAGAAAGGAAGGTACACTGTTAACCTCACAAGGACCACCCTAGGGTTAGAAGAAAAAAAAGAAAAAAAGAAAGAAAAGGGTTTATTGCTTTTCTGCTAACTATAGTAGTAGTACAAATTAAAATAAATGGCTAATCATCCGACTTTAAAATTTTGCAAAAAAATAAAATAAAATATATGTTTGTTGTGAAGAGATTGTCGGTTACATGTGGAATGATTATTTTAAATAATAAGTATTTACTACTATTGTTGAATAGTGGACCATTATAGAATTATGTGTATTTAAAAATTTATAATTGCAATCATCTATTTATAAAAGATACATGGAGATATGTAATTTTTCAATGTGGCGTCTTAGGATATTATGGTTTCTTGTTTATGAATTATGATTTACTCATTTGATAAGATTGTATAAGAATTGGAGAAAATTTGGTGGTTTTTATAATTTGTAGGATTTTCATGTTTATAAGAAAAAACACAATCCAAGAAATCCGAATTACACATCCAAACAAAACTTTAACTTCAAGTTAATCTGATTTGAAATCATGATTTGTATTGCATTTCCAAGCGAACCCTAATTAGCCTCATCTCATACTCGAGATTGATCTAATTTTCTTATCAATATTATTATTAGTACCCTTCTACTATCTTATTCTTTAATTCAACTTATTTATTATTTTCTTATTACTTCGATTATCTTGTTATTTATAATGTTCATTTCTCCATTGTTTTCTATAGGGTTCTTCACTATATTATTTCCTTTCTCAATAATTTTAATATATTTTACTTGATCCGAGGATCTATCGAAAAATATCTATTTACCTTCACAAGATAGGGATAAACTGCATATACACATCACCCTTTTCAAAACTTTCTTATGAGATATATTACACTAAATATGTTATTGTTATTGTTGATTTTTAATCGTCTACATCACATAAATTGAGACGAAGAAAAGGGAAGGAAAGGGATTACTACATATGCATGCACAAGTAAATTAGCAGAAAAGAAATACCAGAAATCCTTGACAAAAGTTGGTAGTATAGTACCGTACTTATTCTCTTTTAATTTATAAAGAAACTATATATGTACAATTTGTTTGTGCAATTTTTGAAAGATGCTTACATAATTATGATGAAGAAATTAAAGATTAGGAAACACATGAAAATAAGAATGTTGATGAGTAATTAATTAATTAAGTCTCAAAAAAGGAAACAAATTAGTAATTAGAAAAACTAGTGGAAATGTAGTGGTATCCCCAAAGCTATATATATGCTCAATTGTAGAGGAGGGACCAACAAACCAATAATAATAATATGCAAGCTCTTGAAAGACTTTGCCACTTAGTACAAATGGACCACTTGCAGTGAGATTTTTTGCATGCAGCAGCACCAACTTGGACTTAGGACTTAATTCACTAATTAACTTAATGAATTTAAATTACTATTTTTTTAATTTGTTTTTGGCATTCGGAGTACGAATTGAAGTACTAATTAAATTTGGATCGCGCATTGCAGGTCCATTAGTGGGTGATGCTCCCAACAATATTTTCTTCATATCCAAGGCTCGAATGTGAGACCTCTAATTAAGGATGAAACAGTCCCACCATTGCACCATAACCCTAATAAATTTAAGGGAAAAATACGCGGTTAAGCAAACTTATACTACTTAATTACTCATCATAGCTATAGTTTGATATAATCACCACTCGTGACTAACATTAACCATTAATTATGTGGGCTGACTTCGAGTTTGTATAATTAGCCAACGTTTGTATATGTATAGTTTGCCACATTTGTATAGTTCGCAGCTAACAATTCTTTGTTTGATTTGTATTGTATACGATGGTTTGTATTTGTATATGACGATGATTTCCTTTGGTTTTTCAGTTTTGTCATCATATACATTCAATTTTTTTGTGTATAACTTTTTAAAGTTTGTATAAACGTGTAGTTTTCGGATTTTGTATAATATAATTTAAATAATGTAATTTGTATAATATATTTTGTATAATTGTTTAAAGTTCATATGTTTATATTTGTATCAATTCGTTATTTCGAGTTTTATTATATTTGTATAATCCAGATTTTATATTACTCAATATACAAAAACACGCGAATTATACAAACGAGATGTGAATTATACAAATTATTGTCCTCTCTCGCTCGCCTCTCTCCTCCCTCTCCCAATCTCGCTCTCCATAATATGCAAATACATATGTATAATATATATAATTGTCCGACCGATATATATATACAATTCACCACTTTCCTACTCTCTTCCCTTTCTCGCTCGCATCTCTCTTCCCTCTCCCAGTCTCGCTCGCCACTCTCCTCCCTTAGTTACGAATTGTAATTAGCAAACTATAGCTATGGAGTGAGATTAGGCTATTTTTGAATGGCTATATGCGAAAGTTACTCTAAATTTAATTAGTATTATCATTCAATAACAACGGTAGAAAGAAAAGGAATGATCAAATTCCAATCAACTGTTCCATTGGCTAATTAATTAACTGGAAAAGGGAAAATATTCACCAGAAATATTCAATATACGTTTTAAATACTATAAATCCTACCTAGCTTGATGCCCTGCGGGAAAGGTCACAACTCATATTTTGTGATTTCTATTTGAATTATGTATACATATATTAATATTTTTTTTAAAATGTGTGTACATAGAATAAAATTTGATTTTTAAATCTTGAACTCACTTATAATGAAATGTTAGTGCTGCAGAGGTAGAATCACTATTAAAGTATATGAATTCTGAATTTGTCATCAAATTTATAAACGATTAATTTTCCTAAATAGGGAGATCTAGAGGCTGGTGGTGGATAAATGGAAAGAAATTAAATGGAATCAAACCCTCATATGATAAAAATTTAGATGCCTCAAGGGTAAAACCACTAAAGTAAGTGCTTTAGATCCGAAAATTTTTGGAATTCTTTTTTTATTTATTTGATGTTTGATATTAGTATTAAATTTTTTGATTTTGAGACATACGAGACTGATTAAAGAAAAAATGCTATTTAGCAAGATTTTTTTCATTATGAGTTTCGAACTTATAAAGACGATGAGACTTAATTTTAATCTATAATGGATTTATAGGTTAATTTTTCTTTTCTACCACCGCTAAACCCTAAGGAATACAATAAATTTAGATAGATATTTTGACAGGCCACAATCTGCTCTAAGAGTAGAGTTGGCTACAATCATAACAGGCCAAAAGCTAATACTATAATTACTGAATTTTAGTTCATAAATATTGAGCAAAAAAGCATCCAATGTTTACAACCCTGGCCACAAATTTCACAAGTTGCTAGTCAAATTTTCCACTAGTAAATCCCAACTAATTTGGTAGACAAAAACTAATTATTTTACTTATTTACTCCTAAGTTAACCTACGAAATAACTAGGTGACATGTGAAAACTGACAGTCTTGAAAAGAGAAAAGAGATGAGTAATCTATTACTCAACATAAAATAGAGTCCAAAATAACAATAGAAATAACCTCACAAAATTCATTTAGAAAAAAGAAGTCCAAACAAGTAACAAGGTAACAATTGAGTCTTGCAAAATAAGATTATTAAAGTGTGTGGATGCTATACCAAAATGAACTTCAATTTACGAGTTGCCAAAAACAAAAACAAAAAATGTATTTTTCTTTTATCTAAAAAAACTCAATTATGATAAAGAAATTTAGGTCAAACACACACCACAAGAGAATACACATATTCATCTAATTTGTGCTTGAATTAAGTTACACCAAATTTAGAACAAATTAAGCAACAAATTAAAGAAATAGAGGTTGCAATAAATCATAAATGGATGATCAACTTATTGCCACACTGTTAAGAAACATAACAATTACTTCCTCCGTTTCAATTTATCTGTCCTATTTCTTATAATTCGTTGAAAAAATAATCTCTTTCTGCTTTTTGACAACTCTTTGATTTCAACTTTGATCATAACATGCTTAAAACCACAAAATTAAAAAATATTTTAATACATTTAACATATTTTTAATATAGACTATAAATTTTTTTTATTTTTTTTACTTTCATCCCATATATAATACTACTAGTACTGCATCTGTGATTTTGTGGCCTGCAGACTAACAGAATGACTAATGGACTGTGCTATCAACTGCTACTAAACTTCAAGGCCAGAAGGAGTACGTGTGGGCACTGGCCAGCATCATCATCACTTATTTCCCTCAGAAAATGTAGGATAAACTCTCACTTACCTTACATTTTTTATAATATTTGTTTCGATTTGTTTGATCTACTATATATTATTTTAATCTGTTTAAAAAAAAGTGATCTTCTTTCTTTTTTTCAACAGTTTTTTAATGTCAACTTTCCATATGGTATTTAACTACAAGATTAAAAGATATTTTAGACCAAAAACTCAATTATTATTATTTTACTTTCTTAAGCATCATACCAAGAAAAAATAGATCAAACAAATTAAAACGAAAAAGAATAATAAATACAGTCTGCAAATCAGTCCCACCCCTCTAATTGCCGGAGAGGCATTTAATGTTTTTTTTTCAACTACTCTCTTGGTTCACTTTTACTTTATTAATGGGCTCATTTGATTGTGGAATAAGTTACTCCAAAATTAGTTATCTCAAGATTGTTATTTCAGCTTTGATATGGGATAAAAATAACATTATAATTTTGTGATAAATTATCTCGTAATTTAATCTCAACCAAATATATATGAAACAAACTCATTCTAAAACTGATTCTAAGATTAATTATTATTTCTTATGATCTCTCGTATCAAACAAGCCCTTAGTTCTTAATTTAATCTTTTTTTCAATACATTTTCCAAAAATATCGAATTTAGTATATCCAAAAGTGATATATATAGTAAAAATACTCCATATGTGTCTAATTATTGGTACATTTTTCCTTTTTTTAGTTGTCTGACAATTTTTTTTACCTATTATACCCTCAATTGATTACTTTGAAAAAAGATAGAACTTCTTGAAAATTTTAAGTTTTTAATTCATTCACTTCATAATTAATTGGGGTAAACTGATAAATTCACTATATCAATTATTGTTTTCTTAATAGATGTGACAATTCAAAAATAAAGAATATTGTTTTATTTATTATTCTCTTTTATCAAATTAATACTGAAATAAATAAAAATAAACGGAGAAAATAATAATGAGCAAATAAGGAATTAAAGATGAGAAGAGAGCATGCAGTAGTGTTTAAGAAAGTAAGGATTTGGGGATCTAAATATGTAGTGTCCCTTTCAATTGAGACAGTTATTTTCAGATCCCAATACACACTAACATAAGTTCCCCTTCCCCACACTGACTGACACACTTTCTTTCTTTTCCTTTCTATTGATAAAATATAATAAAACAAAAACAAAAGAAATACAAAAGGAAGACAGACGTGATGAATTTAATGATAAATGCATGCTTCCAATAATGCACACTATTACTCAACAAGAAGAAAAAAAGCCAACCTCTAGGATCCTTTACTCATAACCAACACCTACCAATAGGCCCATTACAACCGTCCCAATTTATGTAACGATCGATTTAGTATAGTTATATCATTTATATATGTATTGTAATGACTTATATCTCAATTTATGTAACGATCGATTTAGTATAGTTATATCATTATATATATGTATTATAATGGCTTATATCTCAATTTATGTAACGATCGATTTAGTATAGTTATATCATTATATATGTATAGCTTATATCTCAATTTATGTATTGATATATATGCATTTTAATAATTTAGATCTTGACTTATGTAATGATTTCATAAAAGATTTCAATTCACAATTAACAGTTAAATTATGAATGAGAGCAAGTTTTCAAGATTATATTTAAAGAATCAAAACTGTGATAAAACAAGGATTTTCTTTATATGTGGACCTATAGAAACCAAAAAAAAATAAAAATGCTTTGATGATTGGTGGTGAAAAGTGGCGGATATCTTGTAATTAGTCGAGGTACGTGAAAGTTGACGGATGGTTACTTTAAAACTTTGCCTTTACCATATAACATTTTGCAATTTGTGCTGAATCTAGAAGTTTTATTTGATCAAACTTTTCTTAGAAGAAAATTATACCTGCGTATTCATTATGCATTAAAAGAAAAGAAAAAAATCGAATTTAAATTAATGTCATGTCAATTACTTAAACTAGATAGATTATGACTTTAATCATCTAAAACCTATTAATTGTTTAAAGGTTACGACTTTCACCTCACAATAGATGACTAGATCACCCATAGCATAATTAAATTTAGGTTAGTAGATAAAATCAAGATCAAAAAGGCTAATGTCGTTGTACTTTGCTATATACATCTTTGGACACATAAAAATTTGGTCCTAATCAAATGTGAAGACTAATTGTCTAACTTGTTTGTTGAGAACATACCAAATAATTAATATGACAAATGACATTCAAGACTTATTTGAGTTAGCTAATTATGATTTTGATCATTGCATTAATTACGTCTAGTCTAGATAAATATAGGAATAATAGGGTACGTACGTTAGCTCCTTTGGTTGAATCGTGGCATCATATCAGAGCGTTAATGCAACGGGTGTGTTCAGTACAAAGAAAACTATTTTTTTTTTGTTGAATTTGATACGCAAGTAAAAACTATTATTCTAAAAATGGACGGAGCAAAAAGAAAACCCTTTTTTGTTTGGACGTATTGTCACAAGCTGATCACAGCCAAGCAATGACACATATTATCCGCTTTAGCTCAACCCGCATCACAATTAAATTATCATATGAAATTATGAACTTGTATTATACTCTTATAAAACCTTTCATTTTAATATGAGATTTGTCTAAAATAGAATATATGTGTCTTGTCGTTCTTTCTCTTCATCTATATTTCCTCATCAGCTTGTCCTCCATCATGGGCATCACAGACTAAAATGATTAAAGACAAGTCCAATACGCAATATTCTAATTTCCTTGTCCTTAATTTAGAGTGCATCTCCAAATATAATCCTTCGTAAAGTGATAAAAGACTACTCTTTTTTTTTTTTTTAAATCACGGGATAGAGGAAGGGGATTACAAAATGGGGAGTCAAACACTCATCAACAAAATGAAAGTTTAGGTAGTTAATTACCAGATCTGTATGAAGACTATTCTCTCTCTCATTCCTAGCATACTTCCTCATTTTTTAGTCAGTACTGAAATAATCGATATTTTTCAACACTAGTAGAGCTATAGCATTATGATCAAAATTCAAAATGTCAATGTTTTGTCAAGACTATAAGATTCTAAATAAGAGTATTTGACTATCAAACTAGAAAGATGATGCCATCACAGAACAGAACAGAAAAGAACAGTATAGTTAACATTGCACTATATCAGTCTCCGCAGCTAGTTTGCAAATTTTATCTATGATTCAAGTGTGTTAAAGAACCGCGGCTAGAAGCCTAGAACTATAGGACCCTCCAACTTCTGAAAGACATGGATGTATATCAGCATTCAGCAATTCCCATTCAAATGCATGTTTTTGTGAGTTTTAAGTTGCATTGGGTGACAACCTCAGCTATATATTCACGCGCTCCACATTCAGTGAGTTGATTCATGGATGATGATTGTTAATTTGGTCTTTAGAAAGTCAGATAACTACTCACCACTTGACACACCTAGGATTGTCATTGTCACATACATATTGGCCTATGTTTGAGTCTATAGAAGAGCAACAAGACTGATGTGATCAACTCAATCTCACCAGATTCTGGAATTATAATAACATCCAGATTAGTTGACACACCGTTTGTATCGATCAAAAGACTGTTCAATAGTCTTTTAACCCCATTCTGGTCTGATGTAAGAAGATATGTTCATTAATATAACATAGATGGCATCATGGCAGTGCAAAGAAAAATTAAGGTACGTCTAAGTTTCTGAGCCCTTCACTGAACAGTGCAGTTATATTGTACACAGCATGATCCCCAACAAGTTGGCAAAGTTCATCAAGATTCAAGTGTGACACAGTGTCCTTCAAAAGATATACACGTGTATTAGCAATTCCCTTTTATGTGTTCTTAAGAGTTTTGCATCCGTTCTTGGACACTCGATAAAATTGAAACGATACAGAGAAGATTGGCATGGCCCATGCACAAATCAAGAAATGATAAAGAGTATTTCATTGGGTTTTAACCTCAGCTATTTGCGCTCCATGCCCATCTAAGTTTCCTGCTGGACAATAATAATTGTATTTGGTCCTTAGAGAGTCAGGAAAAGAACAGCTAGATAAACCTCAGATTGTCATGTATACCAATTTTGACTCTAGGAAGGAGCAACTAAACTGATGTTCTGTAGTCATGCAATTTAAATGTCACTACAATTACTTTACACACCACACGAATTATACGTTAGATCCAAAGATGTATCGAAGTTAGCTTTCACCCTACCAGTTAATAATACGTTGAATAAGATAAAAGAAGTTCAATCCTTGAATTGCAAGAACTACATATATTGCTGAAATGAAAACTGCAGATCAAGATTCTTTATCCAGACAAGGATTTGATGTCGTAATGACTCAATGCTCAATCGGGAAGGACAATGTATATCTTAGATTGCAAGGGATCAACAAAGAATAATCAAGATTGAGCAAAATAAACATTTATACTATATATAATAGAAATTTTCTAACAGAGAAAGTATTTTGCAGCTTACATTTCAATTTACTTTCTGCAAAGTGGAAACAAGATTTGAGGCTCCAAAAGCTGCAGAGCCACCAACAACAGAAAGTAGAGCAACCACAACCTGCAAACCAATTTGCCAAGGGTAATCTTCAGGCACCAGATACACACAAACAGGGCCAACAGCAAGCAATCCCAAGCTCAAACTGAAGAGTGCTGATGGGGTTGAAGGGTCAGTAGCTGCTGAAAGAATCCCCAATTCTTCGGCTTTGGAAAGAAGACCAAGTCTTTCAATTGCCGACAAAGAGAGTCCAGATTTCTCAGCAGCTGATAGTAAACCAGCTTTCTCTGCTTTAGTTAACAGCCGCAATTGCTCCACTCTTGTCAATAACTTCACTGTTGGTGTAGATGAAGAATTGCCCGGCCGAGGTTTCTCCCCTACTGGAAATACAGTTGTTGTCTGCAGTAAATGTTAAAGACACATGAATTTCCTCGTATATGCATATTCCTCTGTCCATAGAGTACATTGAATATATAGAAATGGCAGGTCGATTTCTCAAGTCACATTTCTTCCTGATTCCAATTTTCTTCAACAAAGAAAGTAATGTTTCTGAGATAATAACTATTACTTTAGTGACCATCCGAGAAATCAACTCCAGAATTAGCTATAATAGTGTTACACTTGTTCGTATTAAAAGAGCTACTCTTCAATGATCAATGAAAATAAGACTGTTCTACCTATTCCAAAGGAACTTGAGTTACATCTCTTTTTCATTCGCCCCTTTGATACCCCGAAAATGAATAAATTATTTTTCTTAGGAACACATACAATGATCTATCAGGTTACAAATTCGACCCATGAAACATCAGGATTGTCTTCCTAAGAGAATCTTAATAGCTTAGTTGGTTGACCTATCTGAACTTTCATCTCGCTTGTGAGACTCGATTTCCCACCTTGTAATCCCCTCACCCATTTCCCCTTCACCTACCCACAATTTGCATTATTAATTACGTAAATGTTGAGATATAATGCAAGCAAGTAGATAAAAAAAAAATGGAACCTTTTTAGAAGTAACGGTTTTGGTAGTAGATGGAGTTGGTTTTTGTGTAGCCATGGATCGGATGAGAAGTGGTGTGTTTGAAGCAGAAAAACGTGAAATCGCAATGGCGCCCTCCATCATCATCATCTTCTTCTTCTTTTTCACTGGTTCAATTATTTGTGCTAAAAGAGTTCAAAGCTAAAGCAAGTTTCCATCTTTGTGAGGCCACAACCCGGAGAAGATAGCATGAAATGTCTGATTCAATTCTAGCCGGTAGATATTCCACGTGGCAGTGCCTGGTTGGATATACTGGTCCTATGCGTGCTTGCCTCGTCCACTCACTTTCCTCAATGGAAATTCTTTTAACATGCATATTAATCCTTTTGATAAATTCAACTTGTCTCGAAATTGTTCGATAATTATTTAATTAATAAAATATTCAACGGAGAGATAAAATAAATTTAGCCAAATACTCTTAGAATTAAGTTTATTTACTGATATTTAATATAATAGTCAAAATACATATATTTGTAGAAAGAAAGTGTTGTATTGTTACTTTTTATAAAGAGGAGATGGGACATTCTATATCCTCGTCACATTGTTTTAGATACCGCTTCTTATCATGAAATTGATAGAAATCAGTTGAAGAATGATTAAAATCATGAGAAATCTTTAATTTAATAAATTTGGAACTCTACCTTCAATTTTGGGGTGATATCCAAATAATATGGTAAAGGAAAAATAATAAAAACGAGTACATTATGAAGGAATTTTGAAGAAAAAAAAATAAGAAAACCTAAAATGCCCTTAATTTGAAAGTCTACCTTTAATTTTGTGGTGATATCCAAATAATATGGTAAAAGGAAAAAGGGTAAAGAGTCAAATATGCCCCTAAACTATTCGAAAAGGATTAGATATACCCTCCGTTTAAAGTTTGACTCACTCGTGCCCTCGCCGTCTAACTTTTCGTCTAGATATGCCCTTCCGGGCGTTAGTTGGCCTGCTGGACATATCCAACTCATTTTCCATTTCTTTAAATGGCACATGGAATTGTCATATCATTTTGACTTTACCACATGACATTTATATGAAAATGGAAAGAGATCAATTATGCCCCTAAAAAATTCGAACTCATAAACACCTAATCCGACCCATAAATTAACCCTTCTTTTAAATAAACTACTCGACCCGTTTTCAACAATTTTGTTTAAATTTTTATTTTTTCGGTAAATCTCGAAAATGAGTAATTGATTAATAAAAAATAGGAAAAATATGAAAAAAAATATAAAATTAACGCAAAAAATTCACAAACAAATATTGTAACCTTAAATTCAACAATTTTTTTATTTTTTATTTTTTTCGGTAAATCCCGAAAATGACTGATTGATTAATAAAATATATGAAAAATATGAAAAAAAAAATATAAAATTAACGCCAAAAAATCACAAATAAATATAGTAACCTTGAATTCAAAAATTTCAACAATTTTTTTTTATTTTTATTTTTTTCGGTAAATGCGAAAAATGAGTAATTTATTAATAAAAAATATGGAAAAAAATAAAATTTATTCCAAAAACTCACAAATAAATAAAGTAACCTTAAATTCAACAATTTCAACATTTTTTTTTAATTTTTAATTTTTTTCTGTAAATCCCAAAAATGAGTAATTGATTAATAAAAACTAGGAAAAAAAAATATAAAATTAAAAAAATTGTTGAATTTAAGGTTACTCTATTTATTTGTGAATTTTTGGCATAAATTTTTTTTCTTCATATTTTTCCTATTTTTTATTAATAAATTACTTATTTTCGGGATTTATTGGAAAAAAATAAAAATTTAAAAAAAATGTTGAAATTTTTGAATTTAAGGTTACTATATTTATTTGTGATTTTTTGGCGTTAATTTTTTATTTTTTTCATAATTTTTATTAATCAATTACTCATTTTCGGGATTTACCGAAAAAAATAAAATTTTTAAAAATTGTTGAAATTGTTGAATTTGAGGTTACAATATTTATTTGTGAATTTTTGGCGTTAATTTTACATTTTTCCTATTTTTTATTAATCAATTACTCATTTTCGGGATTTATCGGAAAAAAAAAAATTTAAACAAAATTGTTGAAAACGGGTCGGTAGTTATTTAAAAGGAGGGTTGATTTATGGGTCGGATTAAGTGTTTATGGGTTCAAATTTTTTAGGGGCATAATTGATCTCTATCCATTTTTATATAAATATCATGTGGTAAAGTCAAAATGACATGACAATTTCATGTGGCATTTAAAGAAATGGAAAATGATCTGGATATGTCTAGCAGGCCAACTAACGCTCATAAGAGCATATCTAGACGAAAAGTTGGATGGCGAGGGCACGAGTGACCCAAACTTTAAACGGAGGATATATCTAGACCTTTTCGAATAATTTAGGGGCATATTTGACCCTTTACCTAAGGAAAAATAATAAAAAAGAGTACATTATGAAGGAATTTTGAAAAAAAATCAGAAAACCTAAAATGCCCTTGTGGGTGAAGAGAGAACCCGATTGTATCAAATTGCCTAAAATAAAACCTGCAAGGCCCTAATGCTAAAACCCTAACCCCTTTAGAGATCTTTGCTGCTGCCCCTCCTCCTCTCAGTCGCACTCTCCTTCTCTCGACTAGCTTCAATGGCGGACTCTGTGATATCAGTTGACAAGGTCAAAGCTTTCTGGCACTCTCAGGTTCATGACGAAGAAAGATGGAATCTCAACAAGGTATCTCCTTTTCCTGATTTTATCTCTTTTTCTAGATACACGTTATTCATATATACATATCAGTAACCTGGGAGAAATTTGCTTCGGTCTTTGTTTTGTCTTCTTCCGTTGTTGTGGATTTTATGGACGATGCCGATTATACTCGTTGTAATGATGAACAACGAGTTAAGCGTGTTATAATTGGATCTTAAGAGATTTGAGTTAGGATTAGAAATAATTTGGCTGAAAATGTGATTGACAATTTGATTGATTTGCTGCCTATACCAAATATTCAGAAGAATAGATCTTATATGTTTTCTAAAACAGTGTTATTAGAATTAATAAGTAAATTCAATAAAATTTCAGTTTGATTTCTCGAATTAACTTGTTAATTTTTATTTTTTTTGAAAATGGTAATTGTTAATTAACTTGTTAATTCTTATTACATGTTTCTCAAAACACATAAGATTGTCTTCTTGAATCTTTAGTTCGAGCATAGAATCTTTTACTTTTGTTCTTTGTTGTTTTGTGTAAATATATCTTTTATGTTTTTTATTGTTCAAATCATGCTTTCTCTGTAACACATAGAAAATAAATTATGACTCACTGAACTTATGTATGCATATAAGTGTTTTGCTAACCTACTATAACCATGTTGAAAGAAAATGGCAGAGAGGAAAACATTCATCTTCTTTAGCATAATGTAGAAGTCATCTTTTTGTTTCTGTAAAAAGTTTCGGTCCCTGCATTTCTTTGATTATCACATTAAAACTGTTAGGTCAATTCTCTTCTTCAACTAGCGAAACAAAACAGTATTAATGGAGTATAAGAGTGTTTTGTTGTAAACTAATAACAAGGTGAAATGTCTGAACAGAAATAACAATCAAATCTTTTGTGAGAAGAAGGTTATTCTATTGCATAGGCCAGAAACAAAGACTTATGGCTATGATTTTCCATGCGAAGCAATAAATTATGTCAAATATGGGTTGCAGAAGCTTTAACGGTTGAATCGAAAGGCAGCAACTAGCGATGGGAAGAGCTTTGGTATAGGGTTTAATCCGACAGTGAATAAAGTAAAAAGAGGAAGGATAATTGGGTATAGATTTTTGATGGAACGACCAAAAAGTCCCTCACACTCTGGTACTTCTTAAATAAGATGTTAGGACATTTAAGGAAACAAGAGTCTGGGTGCAATGCTAACCTATTATGACCACGTAGTAGGTGATTGAAGATTGCAGCGGTAGGAAAAGATTTTGCAAAAATAGATATTTCTCTAGGCTACAAGGGATTGGAGGCAAGAAAGGTGGCTAGAGATGATTTCTGTGTGGGAGAGATATTTATTAGTGAAGGAAAGAAACATCCTTATAATCAATGTCTTTTGGGGTATCGATGGAAAGATAAATTATGTATCACGCTAAGCTACTCTGCCATATAGCAGGCTGGACCTAAAAGCTTCGGGCAATGCTAAGCTACTAGGTTTATGTTGGTCTAACTCTGATTTATGTTACAATAAATAACCTTTTGTTTAATGAGATAAAACAAAGGAAACAAGGAACAACAACACAGTGGTTGGTAAAATGTTTGAACCATTGTGTCACATATCTATGTTGCACAGATACCTCAAGACCACGCGTTTACACTTCTGTTGACCTAACATGATTTAGGTGTGAGTGTGGGATATGGATCAGATTTGCTACTTGACTAAAACTATGGTAGAGAATTATAGGTTGGTTGTATTTTTGGTTTAGATTTTGGTATTTTATATTCATGTAAACATGTGTGCACAGCTACATGAATAATGGTTTTGTCCCAAATCAGTAGGAATATTACTTTATCAAAAAATGTAACTTGTTTTTTCATAATCAGATATATAGATTATAGAGAGATCCATACTTGGGTAAACTTTTTTTCAGACTCTTTATTGTGTATGATATGAATTATGATCAATGTTTCTCATTTTCTGGGCTTTATAGAGTTTTACCTTAATCTTTTTTGCATTTTGCTTTTGCAGAAACTGCTTCGAGCTACTGCTCTATTTGCTGGCTCCATCATTTTGATGCGCCAGTATGGGGATCTCATGGCTATCTGAAGGACGATTGATATTCATTCTCAGCTTCAGATTCAAGTCGGATGAAGTCCTAATCTCTGCCTTCCCCTCCCCTCTCCCCCTTTATGGAAGTATGAAATCTTATGAACTATAGAAAGTGTAGCTTATCTTCAATTGTCTAGGACAGCTTTGTCACCTTGTGTTTTGATGCCCCTAAGTACTTGAAATTTCTGGATATTTATATGTTTGTGACATGGAAGTGAAAGAGCCGAATGAAAAAAACAAAGGACCAATAAATTGAGCATGTTGTTTGTGTTTTCTTGTCAATTTTTTGTTTTATGGACTCCAGAACTACAGGTTAGTTGGTCATGTACCAAAATCTCATGCCGGTGGAGTACGCATTTCACATCCCTGTTCTAGGTTGCAGCAATAATGCCTGTTCTTAACCGCCCTGGAAACCCTTCATTAACACTTCTTACATTGGCAGTGAGGCTGTTGGGCACTTTGTTTCATATGTATGTAAACCTGCATCAGATTGTTTTAGTGCCAAAATAACCATTCAGCTATGTTCCTTTGTAGCCTAATGTCTTTCAAAAGGTGGTACAGGCTCAATCTGCTCTGGCTTCAATTTTCCATGAAAAACAGTAATTTGCTCGAGTCGGTACACTCTATCACTGAAGCCTAATAGCCTGTCGTAGCGTATTTGAAAATTGAAGCTTGGTTTGAAATGCATTTCACTTTTCTTTTCTTTTTTAAATGTGGACATCAGTAGTTTAGTAGCTGTCGTTGAAATGTCAAACTACGTTACTGCACAGCTGTATTCTAATTTGCTGACTTTTTCTTCAATATCTCTGTCATAATAATATCCATTCCCAAGTCATTGACTTAGTTAAATAAACTATGGAGTTGGCTTGAAAACAATCCTTCTATAAAACAAAACATGAATAATCTTCACAATTCCATACAACCACATCACATCTTAGTCTTGTATCATGGCTTTCACTAGCTATCATTTCATCCTTTTTTGTGCACTTCTCCTCTCCATTTCTTCTTATTGCATAGGCCAAAATTCTCCCCAGACCAAAGCATTGATCCTTGCTGTGAAAAAAGACTCAACTACTCTACAATACATCACACAAATTGGTCAAAGAACTCCTCTTGTGCCCATCAAGTTAACAAATTCATCTTGGTGGACAAACTTTATGGGTAAACTGTGAAAATGGTTATGTGAGTTCCACTTATCGACCGGCTCTTTGTGGCTCAACTCAATGTACTATAGCCAAAGTTAACACTTGTGGAAACTGCAGCACCAGTGCTCCCAAGATTAGCTGCAACGATAATGCATGTTACAACACCCCAGAGAATCCATTCATCAAGACTTTGTATAGTGGTGGTGAAATTAATGAAGATGTGTTATCGATACAGTCTACTGATGGATCAAATCCTGGTAAGTTTGTTAAGATTCCAAGCTTCATTTTCACTTGTGTTCCTACATTCTTGACTGAAGGTTTAGCTAGTGGGGTGAAAGGTACTGTTGGATTGGGAAGGAATCGTATCGCGCTTCCTTCCCAATTAGCTGAAATCTTCAGCTTTCCAAGAAAATTTGCTGTTTGTTTGAGTTCATCCACACAATCTTCTGGTGTCATATTTTTCGGTGATGGCATGATGCTTCCAAAAATTGACGTCTCTAAAGATCTCATCTTTACGCCGTTGATCACCAACCCTTTTGGTACTGGATCAGTTCCTTTCCTGAATGAACCTTCCTCAGAGTACTTCATTGGAGTGAAATCTATTAGAGTGAATGGCAAAACAGTGACAATTAATAAAAAATTGCTTGGGATTGACAAGAGAGGAGATGGTGGAACCAAAATAAGCACAGGAACTCCTTATTCAATCTTAGAAACTTCCATCTATGATGTTGTGACTAAAGCATTCATCGATGAGCTATCTAATGCAACCAGAGTGGCTGCTGTGCCACCTTTCGAGACATGTTTCAGCTCAAAAAGTGTTGGTAGCACGAGGGTTGGACCAGCTGTTCCTACCATTGATCTTGTGTTGCAGACTACACGAGTATATTGGAGGATTTTTGGGTCGAATTCAATGGTGAAAGTTAGCCAAGATGTGATCTGCTTAGGATTTGTGAATGGAGGGATTAAACCTACTACTTCAATAGTTATAGGAGGATATCAACTTGAGGACAATCTTCTACAGTTTGATCTTGCCAAATCAACACTTGGTTTTAGCTCATCCCTTTTGTTCCACCAAACTACATGTGCCAATTTCAACTTCACAACCAAGGCTTAAAAAAACTGTCCTTTAGCAGTATCTTTCCCCCATTCCAGAATTGTTTAATAAAAGAGAAAAGGAACATATACTGTTGAAACTTTATAATCAATCAGAATAATGTGAACTCTTTCCAGATGATTCTTGATTTCTAGCAGTATGCATAATATTCTAGATACAATGTTCCTCCATCATTAAATAGTAAATACACAACAAAATATGATAAAAACTGCAAAAGTGCATTCACTAAAATGCACAATGCTGAATTGTTATAAACCAAAGCCAATGAGACATATTTACAACTGCTTTACTAACCAATCCTAGTGACTAGTGAGCATTCAGACTCAAAATATAATAAAAGTTCTAATATTCTCAATTTGGCTAGCCTCATTTCATAGAAATCTTCATCTTAGACATCTCTTCCAACAAGTATTTGGATTCTGCTGCATAATCAACTGAAGCAATAGCTCTTACTGTTATCCTTTGCCTTTTCTCATTGTTGTACCCTTTTGTTGTCTAGCTTTTCATTTGATATGCAGTTTCTCCCTCTTGAGAAATAGGAATATTCAGATAAGTTAGCCATAAACTGTCTAAGACTTAAAAACAAGCACAAAAATGAAAGGTTCTGAGAACTGTTTTACCTCTGATTTCAGCTTGTCAAGTTCATCATCAGAGTATTTTCTCTGCTTGATCATTGAATGCAGAGAGCTACGCTTCACCGCTTGCATCAGAAAAATTCAATGCCATTATATATCTGGGACCAATCAATGTATATTTTCATTAAGTTATATCGAATGGTGTAAACACGAACAAAAATTGCGGAATAAGTGGAGCATTCTGAAGTCAAATGTCAAATTATGCAGCTGTATTCCAATTTGCTGACTTTTTCTTCCTTATGAAAAATATCTCTCTGTCATAACTCATATCCATTCCCAAATCATTGACTTATTTAAATAAGCGATGGAGTTGACTTGAAAACAATCCTTCTATAAAACAAAACATGAATATTCTTCACAATTTCATACTTCCACATCACATCTTAATCTTGTATCATGTCTTTCACTAGCTACTGTTTGATCCTTTTTTGTTCACTTCTCCTCTCCATTTCTTCTTATTGCATAGGCCAAACTTCTCCCCAGACCAAAGCATTCATCCTTCCTGTGACCAAAGACTCATCTACTCTCCAATACATCACACAAATTGGTCAAAGAACTCCTCTTGTGCCCATTAAGTTAACAATTCATCTTGGTGGACAAACTTTATGGGTAGACTGTGAGAATGGTTATGTGAGTTCCACTTATCAACCGCTTCTTTGTGGCTCAACTCAATGTACCATAGCCAAAGTTGACACTTGTGCAAACTGCAGCACCAGTGCTCCCAAGATTGGCTGCAACGATAATGCATGTTACAACACCCCAGAGAATCCATTCATCAAGACTTTGTATAGTGGTGGTGAAATTAATGAAGATGTGTTATCGATACAGTCTACTGATGGATCAAATCCTGGTAAGTTTGTTAAGATTCCAAGCTTCATTTTCACTTGTGTTCCTACATTCTTGACTGAAGGTTTAGCTAGTGGGGTGAAAGGTACTGTTGGATTGGGAAGGAATCGTATCGCGCTTCCTTCCCAATTAGCTGAAATCTTCAGCTTTCCAAGAAAATTTGCTGTTTGTTTAAGTTCATCCACACAATCTTCTGGTGTCATATTTTTTGGTGATGGCATGATGCTTCCAAATATTGATGTGTCAAAAGATCTCATCATTACGCCGTTGATCACCAACCCTTTTGGTACTGGATCTGTTCCTTCCCTGAATGAACCTTCCTCAGAGTACTACATTGGAGTGAAATCTATTAGAGTCAATGGCAAACCAGTGACAATTAACAAAAAATTGCTAGGGGTTGACAAGAGCGGAAATGGTGGAACCAAAATCAGCACAGGGAGTCCTTATTCAATGTTGGAATCTTCCATCTATGATGTTGTGACTAAAGCATTCATCGATGAGTTATCAAATGCAACTAGAGTGGCTGCTGTGGCACCTTTTGAGACATGCTTCAGCTCAAAAAGTGTTGGTAGCACAAGGGTTGGACCAGCTGTTCCTACCATTGATCTTGTGTTGCAGACTACACGAGTTTATTGGAGGATTTTTGGCGCAAATTCAATGGTGAAAGTTAGCCAAGATGTGATTTGCTTAGGATTTGTGAACGGGGGGATTAAACGTACTGCTTCAATAGTTATAGGAGGATATCAACTTGAGGACAATCTTCTACATTTTGATCTTGCTAGATCAACACTTGGTTTTAGCTCATCCCTTTTGTTCCACCAAACTACATGTGCCAATTTCAACTTCACAACTAAAGCTTAAAAAGCTGTCTTTCAGCACTATCTTTACCCCCTTCCAAAATTTTATTTAATACGTAAAAGAGAAGTAACGAATGCTGTAGAAACTTTATGATCAATCAGATTATCTGAACTTTCTTCAGATGATTCTTGATTTCTAGTCGTACGCATAATAAATTTGGTAAACAATCCAATAATGAAGATGCAACAGGAAGGATTTCAGTGAAATGCTGCAACCCTTCCTATCTGATACTAAAGGATCACATGATCCTGAACCAATCTTACTTAGAATCGCAAATCCCAAGTTCATCTATGAAGAAACCATCTAATTGTAAGGCTCTTCTGTGTAATACTAATCAATAAGACCTCAAGTTACCTAATACTCTCTAGAGTCCAGGGAAATAAAGAGAAGATGTGTACAAACTGATATCCAGCAACAAGGAAACAATCTCTAGCTTTATCAAGTATGACCATGCAAAAGTTCCTTCTGTACACAAAATAAACAAATAAATAAACTGATCATGGATGTGATAACAAGAATTGAAATGCTCCATTAGATAAAATGTAGAACCATAATTAAATAGTGAATACACAACAAAATATGAACTGCAAAAGGTGCATCCACTAAAATGCAAAATGCTGAATTGCTATTAAGCAAAGACAGTGAGACATATTTACAACTGTTTTACTAACCAATCCTAGTGAGCATTCAGACTTTAAATATAACAAAAATAAATCTAATATTCTCAATTAGGCTAGCCTCATTACATAGCAATGTTCATCTTAGACATTTCTTCCAGCAAGTATTTGGATTCTGCAACATAATCAACTGGAGCAATAGCCCTGACTGTTATCCTTTGTCTTTTCTCATTGTTGTACTCTTGTGGGGCAACACTGACTCGGAAAAGGTGAGGAACCCATGTAGCTTCCTTCAATTTCATTTGATATGCAATTTCTCCTTCCTGAGAAACAGGAACATTCAGATAAGTTGACCACTAACTGTCAACACATAAAACAAGCACAAAAAAAAAGTCAAATGAACTATTTTACCTCTGATTTCAGCTTGTCAAGTTCATCAGCAGAGCATCCAAGTATTTTCTCTGCTTGCTCATTGAATGTAGACAGCCATGCTTCACCACTTGCATCAGACACTTTCAATGCCATTATATATCTGGGATAGACAAATAAAGGTAAAGACTTAAGTAGGCATTATAGGTTAATGAGAGGTTTTAAGATGACTATATATCCAATGTTCACCTCAAACTACACTCTGCATCATTCTTCTGGCATCCTTCACACCAATATCCAGACCCAAAAGCTTCAGTAACTTTCTTGTTGCATGTCTTGCATGCCCGATACCACATGGTTTGATCAGGCTTAATGAAACTTATATATGCTTTCAAGCTGAAAAACACAGGCTGCCAAACAGAATAATAATTTAATACAATGCTCTATGTACTAATGAGTCCTATTTTCTCAGTACAATAAGCTTCATTTTCAAAAGAACATAGTACTGAAATTGCTCACAAAATCAAGTTCACTATCCTCAACCAGGGTAAAGTATATATACCTTCTCCTCGCCAAGGGACAGGTTACTGGTTATATGAAGCAAGGAAACTCTATCAGTATACATAGATCTTGCTCCATTCTTGGTAGAGGGGCTCATGCCAGAGCCAATAGATGCCAAAGAAGTTTCTTTACCTTCAGAATCATACCTGAACAAAAACGAAAGTGTCCTTTAGTCAACTGAGACAAACAGAAAATCAATTACCCCATTAAGTAAAGTCATACCAAGATCTCAATTTTTTGGCTTCAGGTAAATCAGGATTCACTACAATATTGCTTTTGCTTAATGCTGATAAAGACACTCCTGAAACACAATTTAAAGGAACTATGAGATTTGGACAATGAAGATATCATGCATATAGAACAAGTTTTGTTGTATGAAATGAAGCAATCACCTTGGAAGTCTCCAACTTTAAGGGATTTGATTGCAACAACTGGGGATTTATCAGCCATGTCTAGCAGTTCTTGTCCAACATGGGTGGCAAGATCATTCCAAAGAGAAACAACAACAGTCTTCTTCCTGATACAGAAAAGTATATGACATTAACCTCACATTGCTAGAGAAAGCCAAAATCTACAAGACAGGTAGTTTACAGTATTTAAACATACGTCTCATCTGCAATAGTTATATCACGCTTAGGGACTGTCTCATTGTTACTCTTCCTCCGTATGCTCATTGTTGGAGATACACTTTGGACCACCCCAATAACATCTACAATTCATTGTTTGAAAACATTACTCCATGTTGAAAGGATATGAAAATGCAGCACAAATAATTCAAGCTTTGGGTTTGCAAGTTCATACCAACAAGCTCCCTGCCATTGACATATGGTCCCAATTCATCAATTGGGACAAAGTTAAATTTTGTCTCTGGAATAAAAGCTTCTTCATTGCTAGCCTCCTCAACTTGGGAAGCTTCATTCAAAGTCATCTCATAATCATTTTGTACAGTTTTGAACTGCTTGTTCGCAACTCGAAGAGTTCCCTTTGAAATGTAATATACTTTCCCCAATTCAAACTTGTCAAAAAACTTCTTTGCAGCTTCATTAAACATTGTAGCTTGTATTTGGGTACCCTGAAATAAAAGGTAAATCTTTGTTAGTTATACTATCAATCAAATAAAAACTTCATTAAATCTAGCACTTGCCAAATTGTAAGATAACTGAAAATGTGCTTACATCTTCATCAGTCAATTCAACATTGAACACACAGCCTTCTCCACGAGCATTCTTGTAAGTTCGCATATTACCCTTGCTAGTTACTCGAACCTTAATGGTCCAATTTCCTTGGTAAGGATTCAAAGAGACAAGTGGCTGAATTCTTCTTGTCATTGCCATTCGAGCAGACGGTGCCATGCTGAAATATCACCCACATACAACACAATTAACTTTTTCAGTACATCCATATCACAATATACCATCTGCTAACAAACCAGGAAAAACAAAAATGACGAGAAAAACTCACTTTCCACTTTGTTCATGTACAATTTGAGCAGCAGATTTAGTTTGATATTCCTGTTTTGGTTTCAAAAGAATCCCAGTCTCTTCCTGCTTTGGCTTCAAGACAATGCCAGTGTCTTCACTTTTCACTTCAACCTTGTACTCAGCTTCAAGAGCAGGAGACACTGACTCACATTTAGTTACAATCAAGTACCTAAATCAAATAAATCAACTCATTAGTGTCAAATATAAACCTTCAAATCAAATAAACATAACGTTAATCATTATAAAGATACTCACTTTTCATTCTTAGTTGGGATATCATTGAGGGTGTAATCAATAATCCGAATAAGACCCAGGTTCTGTATGGACCCAGATATAACTTCAGAAGACAAACTAGATTGAAGAATGCCCTTAATCTTCATTTTCCCATCATTGGCTGAAAACCTGCAAATGAAATATTTATTCATTTCGCTATAAGATATCACTTGATGATTAAAGACAATACAACATAAGAAACAACACATGAGACTCAAATAGTCAGCTAAGCCATACGAGAAACCCTAAATCTGTATAATGAACAATCTGATATTTCAAGTGCATCCCCCTCAATAGACAAATGGGAAGCAACAAGCTAACAAACTCATCCAATCGATTTAAATTAAAGAAGTCACCCTCACTTCTACACAAACAAATCGTGTACAGTAACATATACAAAAGTTTTTCGATAAACGAATAGATCTGAATGAAATACAAGTTTCTGATCGATTAAACCAACTCAAATGAAAAGAAAAAAAAAAAAAGCTGAAAAGCAGACTCACATGTATCTGTTGCCAGTGGGCTTGAGATCCACTACTTGAACAATAATTTCAGGAAGATCTGAAGAAGAATCCGGCGATGGGTTCGCTAAAATAGTTGAAATAGCATCTGGGCTGACCGTTTTTGCCATTGTTTCTCTTTCTGAGAAGGTAAAAGGCAAAGAAATGCAGAGAGAAAATAGTTGAAAAATGAAGTAAAAGAATGAAGGAGAAGTGGGGGTTTTGTACTTGAGAGTTTTTGGCGGGGATTTGTTTTTGGATTTTGGCGAAATTATTCATTTGATTTTACTGGCGGGAAAATGTTTAACTTCTAATTCCCGAGGGAAAAACTGACTCCTCAGTTAAATTTGCCGCCATTTATTTTGTTGGAAGCGGGGAAATTTTATAAAGTGAGAAAAAATTATGTTAAATTTTATAGGCATTTGTTTTGAAGAAACTTCTATTTAATATTTCAAGAGCGTTTTAAAATTAAAAATATTAGGAAAAAAAAATCTAAATTAGGTCTATAAAAAAAAGGATAAGATTTCTTATAATATATATATGAGCTTTGTTTATGAAAATCAAAATAAAATGGCATAATAGTTTGTAGTTTGGTGAATTGATGATATTTCTAATTTTAAGTCATAAAAAATAGATGGGTAAATTTGCATATTTTCTTGAAGTGTAGTCATCTATATGACATAGGAGCTCTTTCAATTTTTTGTAAAGTAGTACGATCTATCAGATCACAAGTACGCAAAATATTCAAGTTTTAGGGACAAGATTTTATATGAACATATAAAATTCTGGGCAGTAGGAAGAAACAAGATTTTCAACTTCTCTATAACAGTAAAAAAATTGATTTACAACTAACCGATAATCAATCAAGAACTTCATCTACACTGTATGTCAAAAAATGGATGGGGGAAACTTACAAACACTTAGGTAAGTCCCTAATTTCTGACTTATCAGCATCAAACAAAATCTGGAAAAAAGACTCCTGCTTATTTACATTTGACACAAACAATTGAAAAAAATCAGAATCCCATACGTTGAATGCCTTCGTAATCTTCTAATTAGAACTCTGGGACCAACACATAGCGATCCAAAGGACAGGCCAGTAAACTGGATGATCAAGTCATCATACTTTACCAAAATGCATCAAAGTAGCACTTTAAGTCCTTTTTATGAATGTCGTTACTACCAAACTCACCGGGCATGCACCACATCAGCACTTCTGTGCTAATCGTATTATTCCTTGAACCATGGCATCGTCAGAAACAAAGGGACTATTAGGAAAGCAATCCTAGGAACCGGAAGAGCAGCATGAGAAGCAAGGAAACCATTTTGTTTTCCCTGCATTTTCAGTTGCTGTCGGGGTCTTTGGCTCTGATTGAGGCAGCGGTTCTGTATGCAGCTCTGCTAATTCTAACTGAGGTTGCTTCTGCTCTGGGCTAGATTCAATTGGAGCAGCCATGCGCACTGAATAATTTTTATCCAGATTCCCTGACAGCCTTCATTTTTAGACAGATGGGTCAGTCAATCTCTCATTAATACTGGCATACATATGGAAATTGCAAAGAAGCATAATGTTCACATTGATACCTTTTGAAAGTCATATCTATGCAGAAACAGTTCATTTAATCTTTCAGTTTTTCCCTAACATTCTATTCAAATGCCAACCCTGATCCTATTACCACACAAATGAGAATCAGAAAAAGAAATCTATCAATAGATACATGTCTATGTTACCTAGTGGAAGATCAGGGTCCAGATATAAAGTCGATTATTTAAATGATGAAACCACAAGTTATAGTAAGTAGCAAACAGGTCATGCAGTAGGAGATAATAATTTATGGACCATTTGTCATTAGTCTTTGGAGGCAAAATGTAGGTATTCCACTATACTTGTATGCACAGAAAGAGAGATAGAAAGAAGTAAATGTTCCCACTAGAAATGATTGTCGACATTCTAAATTAACAATAGGGACAAAATTTTGCCAATGTATCATATGAGAGTTTGAGCGAAGATTGCCTACACTGGAAATGCAAAAGACATTGTATTGGTTCCACTTTCCATTGGTTTAGGAGAGATACGTCCAACAGCAAGAGATCTTTCATGATTTAAATCCTCATTTCCCCTTGAGATCTCCACTTCTGCCAATTCCATCTCATGACTTGACTGGTACGGAGAGAAGTCACACATAGCAGGGGATAAGGGGAAGTTTCGAGGAGTTCCTAGCTCACCCAGCTCATCCGACTGCCAAAAACTAGCATCTTTGGTAAAACTCATAGTACCCATGTGAATGCTAAATAATGATTCATGGGAAGTTACACTCCACTCTGCTGGATTTGCAGACTCATCTCTAGCAAACACTGAAGAAGGGATCCTATAAGATTTGTTTGCGGAGTGCTCCATTACTTGCATGGGAGGTGATTCTGTGGTTGACGAATTGCCAGAGCATGACCTGGAAAAACAGTGAGTCCCTTCTGACTGTGACATGGAAGGTGACACTTCATGGTTTAAGGGTTCACTACTAATGGTAGAGCTCCCAGAAACAGGATTTTTGTCGTCTGAAAACCGTGATTTGTTATCCTTACCAAGTTTGGGTAAGTTATTTGCATTAGCAGTGGAATCATCAGATTCATAATTAGCCTTGCCAAAGGGGTCATTCAGTGTCGAGTCAGGTGATGTATTGCAGGAAGAGTCTGAGGAACTTAAAGTTTTCCTGCGAGGGGAGACTTTAAGTCCTGTAACAGCAAGGGTAGGAGGTGTCCCTGATTTTCCATCAGTTGCAGTAACATGCTTAGGCTCCATAGCTGAAGACGTCTTACTCAATTCACCATGCAAAGTTGCCTTTACCAAGCCAAAAAGTTCAAACCTCTACTGCCATAGAAAGAACTGAAATCAGAGTCAATTCAATGTTCAAATCAATCAATGATTTAAATTTCAAATTGAAGTTTCAGGTATCAATTATCTACACAAGCTTCCTGCTTGGCCCTATGCTTGCAACAACGATTTCTGTGTGAAAACCCTACTTTTTTGTGCTACTGATTTAGGACAAGGTCGTACCAATATTGAGGTTATAGTCAAAGCAATCCTGCATTTTACTGCCCATGCTAAACAAGAGATTGGAAAGCCAAACAGCGAAATCCAGAAGAAAAAGCATGTACTACAGAATTCTTGCATGTATGCTAGTGCCATAGAAAACCATTATTCTGGCTTATTTGTTGTCTTTGGCATTTAAGAGTTCAACCCCTCTATCCTTGCTTAAAATTTTAGAAACTGTTGAACTTTGGCAGGAAGTATAGCAACCAGGCCTAAAAGTTTCTTTAAAACACACTCTTCCAATATACTGAACAACAATGTTTAACATAAGAGGATACAATCAACAAAGATGTCTTAACAATTCAATGGCTGCCAAAGACCTGCATAAGAGGGGATACAGTTTGCGTGATACAAAAGCAGTATTTTTTGACATTTTCACCTCAAGCTCTTGTGGACCAAACAATTCCACTACATCAAAGATAAAAATAAAAGCTAAAACAAGTCACCATAATCTTCATTAGCAAAAACAAAAATGGAGTCACCATATCTTGAAAATATGCAACTATAAGAATTCCTGAGCCCAAGGACTGCCTGTGTGTATGCAAAGGGAAAAGCACTGAATAGAAGGATAGAAACAAGCAAGATATATGTGTTTCGAGTTCTAATAGTTAGAGTTCCTCTCTCAAATCATGAATTATCCCTCAGAAAACAGTATAAGTAATAGAAGAAGAGAAACTACAAGGTGACACTAAAGCAAGGGACAGAGGACACAAGGGTTCGGACGACTGAGCTTGAAATGCACTCTCGCATACTCATTGTCACACTGAAGTGTAATAGTCGAGACTTGTCTTTTCAATCTTTTCTTCTATGACTAAACCAAGGAAGTTGATACACTTTCCTGATATGTGGTTGAGTGTATCTTAATGCTTCACATTGGCTCAAAAATTCCTGGCCAAGAATTTGCAATACATTCCAGTCCATTGGTTTCTAAGAGAAAAGCTTATATATCAATTAGTCATGATTTTTAGTTAACCAAATAGCCTCGACGGAATTGTCAGAAAAAAGAATAGCCTCCATGGAATTGTCAGAAAAAAGAATAGCCTCCACAGAATAGTCAGAAAAAGAATAGCCTCCATGGAATTGTCACACAAGTGCACCAAATGGTTCTGAAATATGTTTATCATAGCATCACTTCAAGAAACTATTTGGTTCTTGCTTTCAAAACCTACATTGCTCAAACTCTTCAAAAATGTCATCAGGTGTGAGTAGAATTCTCCAAAAGTAGTGCATTTTTGGAGAGTCCGAGCAACATTGTTCAAAACCTTTCACACTGCATCATCATGTTACCAACTCAAAAGAAGAAACAATAAACATAGTGAAATACTAGTGCAAATGCTCTCTTAATTAATCTTCTCCGTCCAATTACCCAGCAATTAAGCCGAAAATAAGAATAAAAGCAAAAACCCATCAGAAATATGCTACAATTAAGAAAAAAAAAATTGTAACATTTGGGATAACAATGAATAAAGCGAGAAATCACGAACCGTCCAACTATGGAGCCCAAAAACCGGCTAAAGAGCTGCAAAAGGAATGGGTCGTCGTCGAACCGGTAATTGCCGGCCGGCGACGACTGACCTGGGAGCTGATCTGAAAACCAAAAGACCCCTTTGACCCTCGTTATTCATGTAGTCTCTTATTCTGTGAAAGAATGGGGAGAGGACAGTGTGGAATGAATGAAATTTTTCACACGGAAACTGAACGGCAATTCTCACAGAGCAGCGACATTGTCGCTGGATTCCATGGTTTCCTTTTTTCCCGGAGTACGGTTTAGGAGATTAACACCGTGTTTGGCCCTATTCACAATAAGTTTAGCCAAGTTTACTTCTTTTTCTTTCTTTTTTTTTGAAAAAAACAATTCTTTAATTTTAATTTCTTACCAATTTAATATCAAAAAATTAGAAGATATTTTAATATATTTTACATAACTTTGATTTAAGACCAAAAGTTGAGACGGATGAGTAATAAGAAGAGCACAAAATCTTTTTGGGTTGTATATAAAAACATTTTTGAACATAATTTATTTGGTTTAGTACAATGTTATTGAAAATAATAATCTTGATTTATTATTGTGAGAGTAATTAATTTCACTTTTAGAATGAGATAAAATAATATTAAATAATTAATTATATTTTTAATCAAATAGAATAGAAAATAATCACAAAAATCTAATTATCTTATTCCACAAATCAAACGACTGGTCATACATTTGAAAAGTATTTTGTTCAAGTACGGCATTTCTGTAGAAGCAATACCATAATGTTAGGTAGTTAAACAAACAAGTCAAAATATTTTTTAATTATACAATAAGAGAGATGTCGAGTCTGTGTTGGTATTGCTGTTAAAAATGATTTATTTTTATAAATATTTTACTTTTAAATAAAAAATAATTTGTGTTTGGCTAATTAATCTGAAAAGTGTTTTTTATAAGCAAATTGTGGTTGACTAATCATTGTTAAAAAGTGCTTTTGAAAGTCAAATTACGATAAAGGGCAAGAATGAATGTATTTTTAATATTAAAATTATTTTATAGAGAAACTAGTTTAAATATTTATTATAAAAAAAATTAAGTTAAATTTTATTTTTATTAAATTAAAATATTCACATTCAATTTTTCAATCTATATTATAAATTTTTTGGAGGATTGAAATCTTTAATTGTTTTTTTTCTTTTTTCTAATCTTGCAAAAATATTGTTGTTATCTTTTTTTTCTGATTCTGAAAAAATACGTAAAATATAAAAAATAAAATAAAATAAAAAATTTATTATATAAAATAAAAAATAAAATTATTAAATGAAACTTATCCAAATATATGAGATACTCATATATTAATTAATTACTAAAGTTTTAAAGAAACACAAGATGCGAATAAATTTTATTCCGGTTGTTACTATTCTTTTAGCACACATAGGTGAGAGGGAAATAAAAAGGTGACGCAAGCGACAGGAAATTTTATTAGCCAGGCGCATACGTTAGTCTGACTAGGTATATCATTAACACGTCAACGTTAATTAGTACTCTGATGGGTCGATCATCCAACCCGACCCGTTTTCTCTCTCAATACTCCACCATAGTCAATAGTCAAAAGCACCTTGAGTAAAATCATAGACAACTCCCAAGAATTACAAATTACTTATTAATTAGAAAATTCTGATTTTAGTTATGCTTTGGGCATTATTTTCTTCTTATTGTACTTGGGTAGGATGTATTGGAGCTCAATATTTTTCAGAAACAATCTCTCCATCCTCTTCAGACCCCATTTAATAGGATTTTACTAGATTTGTCGGTGATTTTAGTTTTTTGGGTTTTCCACTCGATGTCCGAAGCTCACATTGAAGTTCCGACTAACTGTATCTGAAGCCCACATTGGTTAGCTGAATTGATTAAGGGTGAAGCAGTTGCACCACTGCGTCACAACCCATGGTGGTTTGATTTTAGTTAAATGAGAAAGAAACAACTTCAAATTTTAGTCTTTAGTCTTGGTTAGCTGATTATTTTTTTTAGCTTAGTCTGTACAACAAGAAGTTTCTTTCTTCTTCCCTTTTGACCACTAAAGTTCTTGTATTTTAATGGAAAAGTACTTGTTGGAAATTCAACAACAAATCTCATTCCTCAATACTACCACTATGCGATGTACCCTTTTGTCCTTATTTTGATTGGGCCATTATCTTCCACTAAAACGCGTAAAGGTACTATAATCTTTCTATTCAGAAACTCTTGTTTCAATAACTTCACATCTCATCATCCCCTTTACTATATTTTTTAGATATCTTTTGTCCTTTTCTTGACTCAAAGAACCAATCTTTGAGGAGAGAGCTCCAAGAAACAAGCATAATCTTGGCTTTAGCTACATAGTCTTTTAATCCCTTTTTAGCACTTGAACTTTGGTTTTGTTGTGTTTTGGTTTTAACATTCTTTTTAACTATATTTGGTTGTTGATGACTATCTTAATAAGTTTTCATGCCCATTCCTTGATGGCTGTTAATCTTTTAATGTTAGTGACCCTGAAAGAGTTTAAGAGATGTACATCCCAATTTTGTGTCCTTTGTTGAAACTTGTCATATTTCATTAGAGATTCTTGACCTTTTTGAGGACTTGAGGTTTATCTATGGGGGTATTTTCTGGTCATTAGTCTGTGTTCTGAATTCTGTTGAGGACTTGGGGTTTATCTAAGGGGTGGGGAGCAGCCTTTTGTCCTTCTTGATTACCTAAAAAATTAGAGCTTGAGGTTGGTTTCAAGATTCAGTCAGGAAGGATCATCCAAAGTTTAGGCCTTTTACTTTAAATCAATCTGTTTTACCTGTTGCCTGAAAATGGAGGACGATAAATCGGCGGATCAACATGTAATTGCTGCAGCTCATCACCTTGTGAAGGCGTTAAAAGACAGGACAAGCTTGAGCGATGAAGTTAGAAGAACTCTAGCTGATCTTGACATTCATTTGGCTGCAATGACTGAAGCAAAAGAGGATGAGACCACAAGTTTCAGAGAGATTGAAGGTCGGTTTAAGTCAGCTCAGGCAAAGATCATGTCCTTGAAGTCAAATTGTTTGAAGATATGGGATACTGGTCCTTCTAATCAACTTCTTGAGTATCTGCAAAATGTAGAAGAAGTTCGGAGTATAATAGTGAGCTTGGAAAGTATGGTGCCAAACAAGTACAGGAAACAAAGCAGACTTACTAACCAAGCTCACAGTGCGTTGCAAATTGCAATGGTAAGGCTGCAGGAAGAAGTTATCAATATTCTTGCGCAGAGTAAGCAGTGTTTTGGGCATGCATATGTGTCGTTCCAATCTAGTGAAGAGATAGCTGTTGATGAGGAGACGATGGTCTCAATTGAGGATGACTCAGTTGAGGGAACATCTTGTCTGGATAGTAGTAGAGCTGAATCAGAAGAATGTATAATAATGGATTTGGTCCATCCAGGTGTTGTTCCTTATATCAAGTCCATTGCAGATCTGATGTTTGCTTCACATTACGTCCAGGAATTTTGCCAAGTTTTTATCAGATTCTGGAAAGATGCATTGTATGAATACTTGGGGCTTTTCTGTATGCAACAAATCAGCATTGAAGATGTGCTGAGAATGGACTGGGCAAGCTTGAATTGCAGAATTAAGAAGTGGCGTCAGGCAACGAAGAATGTCATTGCATTCTATCTCCCTAGTGAGAAAAACCTCTTTGATCAGATTCTTTGTGAGTTTGGATCTGTTAGTTCAACATGTTTCATTGAGGTTTCAAAGGATGCCATGATGTGTCTTTTGAATTTTGGCCAAGCTGTAGCTATTGGCCCTCTTCTACCAGAACGTCTTTTTTGTTTACTCGACATGTATGAGCTTCTAAGAGGTCTTTGTCAAGATGTGGATGCATTGTTTTGTGAAAAACATGGTAATTCCATTCAAGTGGAGTACCATGAACTCATGAAAAATCTTGGAGATTCTGCAAAAGCAATCTTTCTGGGGTTGGGGAATCGAATTGCTTCAAACACTTCAACAACTCCCTTCCAAGGAGGAGGTGTTCATCCTCTGACCAAGTATGTTATCAATTATTTCATGCTTCTGTCAGAATATTATGTTACCCTGAGATTCCTTTTAGAGGACAAAGAGGTAGAGAATTCGGGTGAAGTTGTCGATGCACTGGTCAGGCTCGACATTTCATCCGAATACCCATGTCCACTGGCTCTTCACTTGCAGTCAATAACATCCAGGCTCGAATCCAACCTTGAAGATAGGTCCAATTTATATAAAGATGATTCTTTGAAGCACATCTTTTTGATGAACAACATCCATTACATAGTCCAGAAAATCAAGAATTCCAAACTCAGAACCTATTTTGGTGATGAGTGGATAAAAATACATATTGTAAAATATATGCAGCATGAAAAAAGCTATGAGAGAAAAACATGGAATTCAATCATATCTTTGATAACCGGTTATGAGAAGTCAGGGAAGGCAGTTCTGAAGGAGAGGTGCAGAAATTTCAGTATTGCTTTTGAGGATGTGTATAAGAACCAGACAGGATGGACTATTCCAGATATTGATCTTCGAGCTGATTTGAATGTTGCAATCGAGTTAAGGGTCGTTCATGCCTACCGTACATTTGCTGGACAGGTGAAAAAATCTCTCAGTGAAAAGCACATCAAATACACAGAAGAGGACTTGGAGGAGTATCTCCAGGACTTTTTTCAAGGTTCAGCGAAGTCTCTTAATCATCATTGGAGGAGGTGAAAGTTGAATAACAGTAGTAGTATATGTTCTTTTTTTCCTGCATTGAGCGTTTCAATTGTCTTATCTTTTGTAATTTATCAACATTAGTGTTGTAGTCCCCCCACCCCCACCCTAACACACACACACACACAAAAAATGTATAGTTGTCCATAGTTTTCGAGTTCAATCTACTATTGTAACTTTATGGTATATGCATTCCTTTTCATCTGTGTTCCACTCTCATTCTTGATTAACACTCTCTTGCTGATCATTTGCAACATGAGTGTTCCAAATCACTTGTCATAGCTATGTCGTTCAGATTCCTAAAAAATGTTTCCCCAACGGTGTCAGAATCCTCCAAGAAGGCACTATTTTTGGATGATCCAACACTCGTCTGTTGTAATTTTTGGGAAGTCAAAACAATGTAGGCTAAAAGCGGTCACAACCACTGAACCATAAAGGTTGGAAGACAGAAGATGACTTTAGATATTAAAGTCTGAAAGACAGGCCTAACAACTTTAGATATTCAAGTCATGGCATTCAATACATCTGTACAAGTAAAAGGCAAAACTTGTATGAGCACATTCTCAGCCACAAGATCAATTTTGTCCGATCAAATCATTTTGATTTATTCTTTTCTCGGTGTTAATACTCTTTACTTTGCAGAAATTCAGCACCACATAACTATCACTGAGCATTTGTATCATTAATGCTTCATAATTGAAGTAAAAGTTGTTTCAAGTCTTCTTCCTTGTACATGTATCTGTAGTTTTCAAATTAAAAACCTATGTTGGTGTGAAGGTCTTGACTCTATAGAGGGAACAGTGGCGCTAGGGGCTAATATAATGGTGATAGATACATTTATGGGGTCATTTGGTAGCTGGTTAAGAGCTAAGTAATTCATCTATTAAATCTTGCATAAGTGGCAGCATCTTTTTGCTATGTATAAAACCCAACACACCTAATATAATGTTTGGTTTGCAATTTAGAAACCCACAAAACTAATACATATATAAGTTAGATAATCTACATATATTTTATGCAGGATAGAAGATGGAATAACTAAACACTGCACAAAATAATAAATAGATTCCATCATAATTGATCTTTGTATCACTAATACCGGCATAACTCTAACCAATTAACAAGCAACCCCGACTATTCTGATTAGATGATTTTCCTAGTGAAGTTAGAAATTCAACCTCCTGAGAATGAAAAAACAGGTAAGAACTAAGCAACAATGCAAGAGCACTATTGCATTTAACACTCAATCTGCAGACAATTGTTGGCAAGCCAATTGGGGAACTTATAATTGTAGGAAGTACTAAAGGTGTGTACAATTACTACCTTTCACCAGTGTGGAGAAAGGTCAGAAAGAACGACAAGATTATCCCACTACTGTCAGAAGTATTTTCAGTAACAGAAACAAAACCTCGTAATCTTTAACTAATCAGAACACGTTACCAATGATCAGGTTGACTCATGTTCAATCACTCCAGTTTACTCGATCATGATCCTTTTTCAAACAAATTACAGGTCAACAGAAACTTAGTCATTACAGGCAACTGCAGTTTCTCAGATGAGTTATACAAGAAATACACGCTTCTCTCAGTAACCGTACTTTCAGTAGTGTCAAATAACAATAAAATCCAATACTTATCTGTCTAAGCAGTCACAACTCGCAAGTATAAAGAACAAACAGTGTAATAAAATAGACAAATTGACATAATCAATTTGACAAAGAATGTGAGGCAGAGCTAACATAAGATGCCAACTCCTGCTTCAGAGACTTCAGATTTTCCTTGGCATTTATCTTTATGTCCCTGAATATTCTCCTCTTTATCCCCCCTGTTTTATACATGAAATCACTCCTACTAACTTCATGGAAATCTTTTGGCAAAAGTGTCAAATAATTGTTGAGTTTTCAAATTACCTTTTCCGCAATAAGGAAACCAAGGACTAAAATTTGTTAAGCGCTTAATGTTCTAGTCATGGTTTTGAACCAAAGTTATAGGTCCAATGACTGCAGCTTTCAAAGAGCACGGTTCTCTTAATTTTGTATTTACGTTCTGTCAAATGAATCAAATTACTTCCCTCAAGCATAGTGGTTAGGTACATTACCGATGAGCCATGTTGTCTCAAACAGACGATCAAGACTCAAAGCTTACTTTAACAATAGAATAAACAATACTTTCTGCTGAAATTTTGATGATAAAAAGCTATTTTTCACACCCCAAAGTCATGGTCAGTCAGTTGGATGACTCTATTCAACCACATTTCCTCTGCAATGGAAAGAAGGAACTCACCCTAAAAATTGTCAAAGGCACTCAAGCAATTTGAGTATAATATGTCTAAGAAGTAACACAGTGAAACGCAAAAGAGACACGATGATGATCAATCTTGTGATTTTGTTTCACCTTTGTGTTTGTGAAGGTCAATCATGAAAGACAACATTTAGTTAGATTCCAGAAATGTGTCTCTCTGTTAATGAAACTGTAAAACTGCATCTGACTGAAACAAAAAAGATCACCCAAGATTATTTTTCCTAGATCGAAGATATCAATCACTTCTATGACTGATCCAATAAAAAATAGAAAAAATACTTTATAGCAATAGTACATATTTGTGGGTCTTACTAAATTCAAGAAAAAGTGTCCAGAAAGAACTATAATCATTTCAGCCATACTTCACTTTCTTAGTCCTCCCTCTCTATATAGCTTGACTCACAATTACTTGAGCGTTGGCCCTGACACCTTGTGCTTTCCTAAAATCAATTTCCTTCCTGCTTTAGGTTATTGGTCACTCTGCATGCGGGCAAGAATACCGATAGTTAATGTCATCTGCCAATTATAATTGGTTTTTCTATGATATGTATGCACCACTATAAAAGGCATAAGCTATATGCCAACCTGTTGGTGTTAATGATTTTCTAGGGTCTAATTCGTTTAGTAGATAGCGCAGATAGTTCGTATGTTTTGTATCCATGGAGTGGCACTTCTTCACTTCAGACATCTTGAACCACTACCTGCTTCCCTTTTATTTCACAGACAATTTTTGCCTGCTACAACTAATCGATCAAGACTTGCAATTCAGCCAACTTGGAGCATGGTCCAAACAATAACAAAGATGTTATAACAGATATTATGGAAGAAATATCATGAATTGAAAGTAATCCATTGTCAACGAGGAAATTATGTTCCTAAAACATCAACAGGTTTATCGAACATTGTACAACAAAGGTCTCAAGCAATAGCCGAGTTAACAAATAAAACAAGACACCTAGCAGAACGGACACAGGAAGAGCAGGCAAAGCTTTCTGATAAAATGCAAGAAGCATCAGAGTGATACCAAGACCAGCTATAATAGCAAGATAGCATGCATAAACTGTCATGAAATCATACATTGCAGCCCTGGCAACTAATACACTGTAGAATATGAAGTCTCCTAGCCCCAGCTTAATAGCACCTGACGATCCCAAACCAATTCCTTCAAGTGCAAAATCATCACTTGGCCCTTCCTGTAAATTCATTCGGACATTTATCCTATGCTGAATTAGCGGTGCAGCCAGCTCAGAATCTGGTCTTGGAACTTGACCATCCTCCACATCAACAGCATTCCTCTTGCCGATTGATGGAAGGCTTTCAAGACCAGAATTTGATTCCAAACTAGAATAGACAGTTGAATTCAAGTTGGACCTAGATTCCAAATTTTCATCAGAGCCAATATCATTGTCCCGTCTTTCTCTCCATACTCTCCTTTGCACAACAGCACCCCTTTGAACTGAGTCGGGATTAATAATGGGACGAGCTTCATAAACCAAAGCAGGGATATCTTCATCCCTAGATATTGCAAGCTCAACAAGTAGCCTTAGAGGTCCACCCGGCAACAAAACAGCTGCTAGGTCATACAATGACATTGCAACCAAAAGCACCCAAGTTGTCCATTCAGGCAAGAGTGTAAACCAATAGGCAACCAAAACTCCAATAACAACCAAATATACTTGGGTAATTATAATTGCCGTCTTTGACATGAACACAGCCAAAACCCCAACAACAGTGAAATTAAACAAACTCAATACAAAAGTAACGCAATCAATGGGAATCCTGAATTTTCCGATCAAGAACAGACATATTTCACCACCCATGAATCCCAAAACAAGAAAAGACGAGAAACCCATGTAGTATTTCAAGAATTTGGTGCATCTGAAGTAGAAAAGTAAGACCAAAAGGAATGTAACAGCAGTGACAACAACAGCAAAGACTAAAGCATTCAAAATGGCACCTTTCAATTTATCCCAGTTTGAGTCTGAGCTGCTCTCATTATAGGCAACTGTGGCTATTGAGGTAAATGAGGGACCTGAAGAATCTGAATCATTGTTTAGTACTGAAACAAGGATAACCACCAATAGCATGCAAATTGAGACTGGTGTTACGATTCTCACTATTTCTTCACCCAGTGAATCAAGAACGCTTCTGGGCTTTGAATTTTCGTCCATTGGAACCCTAAAATTGAATTAACCTTCGGATTCCGGGAACAATTTTGGATTTTCAGTGCTCAGTTGATAATCTGGGAATATTTGGGTATTTCCAAATTTGACTTTGGATGTTGAGAGATTTACAAAACGGTAACCCGACCCGAATTGTGAATTTGTTAAGCTGGCCTAATCCACGAGTCTGGCCCAAACTTAGCAATGATTGGGTCACATTGTATTTTTTTCTACTTAAATTCCAAATCTGCCAAGTTCGGTGGGACAAAGCTTCACTGCGCTACGGATTAATCCGATGCCACAAGCTCGACTTTAGGATGGACCGGGTGAGATTAGATTCATAATTTCCTTTATGAAATACCTTTGTTATACCAACTCAGTCACTCATGCGTAATCAATGTTCATATTTGAAGTTATCGATTGATGTTTATTAACTAAAGTTGAACTAATGGATATAATTTTTTTATGAAGAAGTAATTTTAAACTTCAATTTCGAGAATTTTGCCATCAAGACACCAATTACATTACTCATAGAAGGATTTAACTTCTCTGTCAAAGCAAACTATATAAGCTAAGGAACCATTCATGACATGATAGACAATTGATCTAAAGATCACACCAATACTCAAGACAATAAACTACAATTTGAACTTTATTTTGAGCAAAAGGATAAAACTACTAGTTCGTATCAAACTCGTTTCTATTAATATTTTTCTTGAGTCGAGGGAAAATTAAACACCATACCTTATTTATGAAGTCACATGATTTATTGTTGACGTTGTAAATACAATTAATTCATGCCAAAAAAAACTTATGTCAAAAGTCATAGCCACAAAACAATATTCCAAAGATAATAAACTACGACATCAAAACTTTCAATTACTCTTTTTCAACTCTAACTCAAGACCTAAAAGTGGTCTTATACATGACTGGCAACGTACCTTAGAAACACAAACCAAAAGATAGTCAAAGTTATAAAAGAAAACCTAGTGTTTAAAGGGGTTAATTCTCCCTAACAATTAAACCAGTAACAGTGATAACAAATGCAGCCCCTAAGTTAAGGGTTCTGGAGATAATGGCACCACCTTCCTTGCCAAATATTGTAAAGACCACATCAAAATAGTTGAAACAAATCAGCGCGATACCAAGCACAATCAGGAACATTGATATTTGTTGGACATTCGCTCTCCTTTCATCAAGGAGCAAGATCCACTCGTCTTCTTCTTCATCATCTTCCAGTGTATTTGTTGTCTTGATACTACTAGCAGTATCATCTACACACGCGATAGTAGTATCTGCATCACCACCACTACTAGTATCTACACATGCCTCTTGCTTCTTGTTACCGTGCTTAAAAAAACTAGAAATCACATTGAGAGTCGTCTTCTTTTCCTCCTCCATATTGTGCCTAGTCATGATAGAACTAAAAATTTGATTAATCAAAACCACAGATGCGAATTCAAGATTTTTATTTAATTTTGATGGACTTTGTTAGATTTATACCCGTGTGTCCATTATAAATGTAATCTCTTTGTTGTCATGGTTAAACTACATACATCATTTAAACTTTGACCAATTTTTTTTTTATGTATGTTTCGTTAAATTGAAAAAGAATTGCATCATGTAATACTTTTTGTTTAAAAGGTAAAAACACCAGCGGGAAAGAACTAAAGCAATTTAATTTGAACAAATCTAAAAAAAAAAAAAACACAATTCATGAACTCCATAATGTGAGAAGCATGCTACATGAACCAATGACGGAAGTAGAATACCACATACGAATTTACGAGAATTCAGTGTATTTTGCACAAATCATGTATATACATTAAAAATATTGTAAACTATGTTATTATTTATATATTAACTTGAGATCGTTATGGAAAAGTAAAGAAGGGGAGAGAAGTCTAACCTGTGAAGTCTAAAACGTTTGCCGATTCTTCTGAATAGAGAAACCTAATAAATTAATATCATGCGCCAATACTATATATATATAGAGAGAGAGAGAGGGGATAGCTGGCACTTAAAAAGTTAAGTGTTTGAGTCATAGGAGATTAAGGACTCATGTCATTAATTATTGGTAGGACGTGGGATTAATTTTTAATTAGCTAATGACCACATACGATGCGTGACCATTTTCTTTATTATAAATTTTGAATTAACCAAACTTTTGCAAATAGCCACTATAATAAACTTAATTACGCTCCATATCTATAGTTTGCATATTTACGGGTTGTAGCTACAGTTTAAGCTACCTCGTTTGTATAAGGAAAAATTACTTGGATGGGTACCTTTTAATAAATAATTAGTGATTTTAGCGATATTTTTTTATTTATTACCATTTATAGCAATACATAGCAATACTATGTTAAATCTGCAATATGTATTAAAAGTGAGTTATGTATGCAATATATATGTATTATAACTGTTATTTTAAATATATTATGCTTGTTTGGTAAGAAATTGACACATTATATTATAAGTGTATTAAAATATGTGATAAATGTATTTGGCATAATACATAAACATGTAGGCACTTAAATTAAACTTGTATAAAATTGAACAAATAGACACATTCATCTTACATGGCACCCTACATTGCAATTTTGTGTCCTACGTGGCGTCCTGCGTGTATTATGCCACGTAGGACACGTATGTTTACTTGTTCAATTTTATATAAATTTAAGTGTCTATTTGTGCACACTCAAAGTTGGAGGACATAGTTGTCCGTTGAAGCCAAGTTAGGATAAATATTTTCTTAATATAGTATATTTATGTAAATTTCCCTTTGTATAATTCATGGATTTGTATAATTCACAGGTAAATTTGTATAATTCAGTTATTTTTGTATAAACTCAAAATAACAAATTTATACCATTACAAACATCAGAAGTGTAAATAGTTATACAAATTCCGAATTATACAAACGTGCAAATTATACAAAAATAAAAAGTTGACCCGCATAATTATAGTTAAAAGTAGGTCGCGCATTATAATTAAGACAAACTATAACTATATTAACTAATTAACTGATATATATTTGCTTATACGCGTAATTTTCCCTTTATTCATTAATTAAACTTCTAAACTCAGAAAGTCAATAGTACTAACATTTTCTTTAAAAGGCTTTTGGAAAATGATTAAAATAAAAGATGTAATTTGTGAGATAACAGGCTAAAAGTAAGAGAAATATTCTATTTTATTTTTTAGTTTATTTATAAAAAAAAAACATCTTTTTCTATATTTTATATAAAAAAAATTACTTCAAATATTCTCTGTGGCAAGTTTAAAGCCACAAAATACAAATAATTTATAGTACATTATGTACATCTTAATTTAAGATCACGAAATTAAAAAATCTCCCTTATTAAAACAAAAAAAAACTTAAATTAAAACGGATGAAGCAACTTTTTCGATCATCATATTTTTAATGTTAATAGATCATATCTTTTTATTCCTTTTTAACACCTTTGGGAGGAGCATATAAGCTGCAACTTGCAACTCCAATCCAATCATTTTTTTTTCATTTTAAATTTAGATATTGTCTACCCATTTTCTTTTGGGTAGGGGCAGCGGGCCGACACCCGCCCAGTGCCGGAAGGTTAAGGAAGTTGGTGACCTGATGACAAGGGAGTCGGCAGGGGCAGGGAATTTGGGGATCAGAAGAAGGCTTCATCTGTGAGAATACAGGCAAACTGGCACATAAGTAGTGTTCATGAAAAGCAGTCAACTAACTGCAAAATCTTTAATCTGATTTCACTATCTATATGTTGTGAATGTATCAATGTTCATTATCATCAAGGGAGAACAATGCTCTCTGCACATTTAAAACTGCTGGAGAGCCTTTCTTTGCCTTCTCCACAATATGTCTAATTAACAACTTTTCCATCTCATCATCACTTTCATCATTCATCCTATCATTTTCAATCCAGTCAAAGTTACGCTCACGTGAACGCGAGTTCTCTTGGTGGTTGATGTCCATAACTCCTGATGCAACAGCAACATCCTCCTCCTTTGAATTTAACCTTGTGAACACGTTATAAGCCTCGTTATATGCATCTAAAGCATCCCCGCGTAAATTGATTGTCATTGGCTGGTCTGCTGTACGTTGTTCAACTTTAGTTACAGGACTACCATGGGTGGAAGAAGAACCCCCTTCACTGTTTGAGGAGTCCCTCCAAGAACTTACAAGTTCTGCTTCCATATAACGAACTTTCCTTTCACTGTTCTGAAGTGCCATCTCAAGCTCCTTGACCCGGTCTTCTAATTGTGATTGGAGGACTTCGTGCAGCCGCAAAGTCAGCTCTCTAGATGAGATGGCATAGTTAGCAGGATGATGAGTTGAGGTCCCGCTACCATCCTGATCTGCATAAGGTTGACCTCTGGCTTGTCTATTAAAGAGTTCAGTTCTTAACTCCCCCTTGGCTAGATCTGTCACAAAATCTGGATCAAGCTGCAAACAATTGAACACTTATTAAAGCTTCTCCAAAATAGCAGATGACTTATACATGTGTAGCTTAAGTCGTACAGTAATGAGATTCATTTTCATTTCCTAGTGGATGTAAAAGAGTTGCACCAGTCATAACTTCTAAGTTTCTCCTGAGGACTCTACTGTGAATTCTTCGAACTAAAACGTTGATTCCTTCTAGAAAACAAATATGGATGATACTGATCCTACAAATCATAAACCTAATGGTCTTCCTAGTAAAGACATGAAAACTTCCTCATTAGAGGATCAAGGAAAAGAGCAACTTGATGAAGATTGAGATTATTGGTTCTTGGAAAAGTTAGAATTCATAGTAACTGATAACTGATGATAGACTGACAAAAATTTCAACAAAAAACTGGAAAGAAAACATTAAGAAGATCTCCAACACAAAGAAAGAATGCAAAGCTGCAAACACAAGATACGCCCAAATTGCACACTAGATCACAAAGCTAACCGACAAAGCAAGCAAATTGAAGCACAGAAACCTATTTGCCAGAAACATCATGACGTACAATTTTCTCAACTTTCTAAAGAAGAGCCCTCCTGACATAGTATAAGCAGAAACAAAGTTGTCTACCTCCTATACTATCCAGATCAAGAGAGCTGCGAGAGGAAAAAATTGGGAGGACTGGAAGAAAGCGTGAGGATATAATGGCTAAGAGAACAACAATTTTTTTTCATAAAGCTCAATTAAGACATTAGTTCTGATCATATGACTAAAACTATTAGGTACACATCCTACTAACAGAAGTATTAGAGACTAAAGAGCTCAGCAACAACATGCATTATACCCACCAGAGATCAATAAGCAACAGAGATCCCCCTGAATAATTATTTCTAATAGCAAAAACTGATGGAAGTATCTATCTTGCATAACGTACAAGTTTAAACGAGTTTAGGGTTTGTTAAGCATCCAAATGGAGCGAAATGGATAGTAAGGATTCATATGCCAACCCCAACTTAGGATTGAGGCATACTTTTCATTTAGTGTTTGTAACGTGCTCCGGAGATATTCCACCGATACTTGTTACCTTTCACCAACACAGGTACCGGGTTTCTATCCCACCAAAGTTAGGCAGTTGGGAAGGAACCGCCTAGTGTATTTTGCCTCTGTTTGGCTTTAGCTTGAGGCCATGGTTCTCTTCCCACTTCATTGTCCACTAGGCCACACCCTTGGATGCTTGATTTAACCTTATGAAATAGTTTCAATATCCGAACTCTAAACTCTAGCATAGGATTCTTTTTCCATTGTCCTTCAGTTCCTACTTCCAATGCCAACTATAATAGAAAATTCAAGCACTATACAACAATAACAACATACCCAGTGTGACCCCAAAAGTGGGGTTTGGGGAGGGTAGAATGTAGCAGACCTTACCCCTACCTTGGGAGGTAGAGAGGTTATTCCGGTAGACCCACTGCTCAAGGAAACGCATATCAAAGCCAATCGAAAAAGATAACGGAAGTGAGAGAAAATTCAAGCACTGTATACCCATGAAACACTAATCAAGCTTATCTTTTACCAACCATAAGCTCTAGGGCTTCCTTAAATAACATAAGTTCATTAGATCTTGGACCAAAATGCTTAAGTGCATATAGTGCCTAAGTTAGCTTCTCTGATAAGATTATTGTATTTTCAAGAATGGAGTATCCAAGTAAGCAAATGTATTGCATATTAGAGTTGCTTCACGGGAAAAAAAAGAAGCATAGATATGAATGAATCAGAAAGTATTATGACCTCATGTAGCTCTGCTAGTTTCCCCTCCAATTTAGACGAGTTCATACTTAATTCTAACCTCTCCAATTCAGCTTCAAGCTCTGCTTCAATTTTACTCCTAGATTCTTCCTCTGTTCTCTGGCTTTGACAGTCTTCATCGTAATTTGTTGACGACTTATCCATCTTTCCTTTAGGGGAAGGTGCCAGTAAAGCTCCATTGTTTGATGAATCATTATGTGCATCTTGTGACCCACAATCTTCAGTGGCAAGCTCTTTCACAGTAATTAATTCTTTCATTTCAAGTTCCTCATGTAGATCTTGAACCAAATTCTCCGACTGTCTCAGCAACTCATTTAACTTAGCCATTTCCTTTCTATTTTTCCAGAAAGAGGATATCATACCCACAGATATTCCAAGACAGAAAAGAAGCACACGATGAGATGATCCTGATTCAAGACAAACATAAAAGGGTGGGATTATAGGAGATGTTAGTATTTCTTTCCAAAAAGAAAAGAAAATTAGAAGTTAGTAAACAAGTAGTATTCACTCATTGTGCCATTAGCAGGAAAGCCATGGACAGTAGAGAGTTTATAAAGTCTTAGTATCTCAAGTAGAAGTTCAAAAGAAAGAAACAGACATGACTCTAATTAAGGTAAAAAAAGACTATCTCGTACAAATTATTTTTGTTCCATCAACTGTTGCAGGTAAAGGAATGAATCAGTCATGAGTTCCATTATGTGAAAGTTTAGTTAACTACCACTTACACAGCTTTGTGCTAGAATAATATCTTGATGGAACTATCTGGAGCTACATCCCCTACAGTTTTTAAACTCTTCCTAGAATGTTCCTATTCCAGTGTTCAAAATATTGGAATATAATATGTATCTATTTCATTAAATTTTACCAAGGAAACCATGAAAAATTCAGACTCCAAACAGAAAAAAGTACCTTTTAAACTGCTGTGTCTCTCATTGTTCATTCCAATGGAATCACTAAATCTGCCGGACTGATCCTTCACCTTGTCTTTCCTGAGGAGCTCCATGGATCCAACACTAGGTAGTTGAGGGACTCCAAATACAGTATTCATTTGTGAAAAATTATCCTGCTGCTTATGATGTCCAGCACTTCTTGGGGCATTAATAGAATTAGAACTAGCCCTGCTTATAATTTTGCTCCCGTCAGTAACTACAAAAGGCCTCGCAGTTGGAGTCCATGGTGAAGAGTTTGAACTGAAAATATGGTCTTCAACATCACCATGTTCCTTGTATAATTGAGCCATGAGACAGCTTTCAAGAGAATTCAGAGGCTTTATAAGATGCCCAATTTTTCTTCTACTCCTAAGGTTGCTCTTTTTCCTTGAAGTACCATAAGAAAACGCCAATTCAGCCGTAGAAGGGGGAAGTGATGACTCATATCCCAGTTCATTGATGTTACCACATATGCTTCCACCCTGATCTCCTTGAAGTTCTTTATCACACGGCAACCCAGAGTTCAAATGAAAATTATCAGAATCACACAACATCCCTAGTCTTTCATCAGCCAAACTGCTGGTGCAAGCCACTTCTGGATCATGGAAAGCCAATCTTTCTGCAGCACACTCATCTAGTTTCTTTCTCGGTGTCTCCACAGGAGAGGAACAATTCTTATCCAAGACTTGATGCATACGCGTTAATGAATCATTTCTTACAAAACTAGGACTCCCAGGAGATGATTCTAACAAATCATGCCGGCTTCTTAAGAGGTTCTTCCAATGCTGGGCTACATACCCAGCACCAGCAGCTGCAGCCACAACCCAAATATCCATGTTCACTGCAATCCTCACAGCAGCTATACTAACCTAGCTCTACAGCCGGAATCTCCCTGTTAGAATCATCTTCGGCAAAGGCAAAAACTACTCCAATGCTAAGACAAGATAAGTGCCAGAGAAATCACAATGAACAGGAAGTTAACACTAAACCTCTTTGCTTTGATTCAAAAGGGTATGAGGAAAAGCAAGGATTGCTCAATTTCTCCAAGTGAAACAAAGACAAACTTATCTAGGTTCTGTAGAAAGGAAAAAAAGTTCTGTTCTTGAGAAGCTATAGCCAAGAACCCTAATGCTAATGGGAAAGAAAAAGCGAAAAATCACCAAATGAGGAAAGATTACTCTTCAATCAAACAATCAATATCCAAAACTATTCAACTTTCTCAATTTTTCTGTAGAGCGGCAATATCCAGAAACACCAAATACGACTTGTCAAACCTGTAAGCCTTACGAATAATCACAAGCCATATTCAATAACCACGAGCAACAACCTCAATCCCTGAAAAAACATACGCAAAAACACCCTTTCTGCAGCGCACGACGCATCAATAAAAAGAATCAATTTTTCCCAAGAAAAAATCCCAATTAAAAAAAGTAAAAGAATCTAAAGACAGCCCATTTCAAAGACGCATGTAAAGTGCAAAACCCACCAATAAAAACTAACCAATTTCACCAGAAAACTTCACCGAACTCAGCCACCCCTATAAAGTAAGGGACTGTAATCTTGAAAAATGATTTGGGGGTGTTGAAGATAGAGAAAAAAGCTCACTCTTTTTCAGAGGTTGGTGAGAAAAGGGTCACACAAGATTAGAGCAGGCAGGTGCTGGTACATTTGTTGGAGATTTGGGTCCTCCTCTCATTTTGCCCCATTATCTACACAGAAAGGGCTGAAAGGCGCAGGTTTTTACAGTACAGAAATTTTCCAATTGGACAAAAAATATGTTATTTGTTTAATTTTATAGTAAAAGTTTCTTGTTTTTTCCTTCAAAACACAAGGAAAGTGGTCTTTTACTTTTATAGCCAAATGGAGATGGATGACAATTAATTGGAAGATTACTTTTATCAAATTTGCTTGGATGTAAAATATAATACAACTTTGGTTCACCTACCATCGTAAATTTATTAAGAGCTTATTTAGAATTTATTCATCCCCATTACATTCTTGATTACGATATATTATGTGTAGTAATGATAATAATGCTCTTAAAAATATAAATATAGTAGAAGATAGTTGTCCTTTCCATGAATCATAACTTGATTCAAATTCAAATTTATGTTTTTTTCCAACCAATGTCAATTTTTGAATTTCAACCAATGTCAATTTTTTAAAACGAAACTTGTTCAACTGTTTGAAGATGAAATAATGTAAATGCAATGTCACATTCTTGCAATTGTCAATCCGAAAGACCAGGTCTATCCGTCTATGTTTTCATTTAATATTCTATTTTTCAATTCTTTAAAGTTCAACAGTATAACATAAGATATATATAAAAAAAATAAAATCTAAAAGGTCCTGAGAACCGTGTGATTGGAATACTTTTATATCATGTGTATTTCAAAATAGCTAACGGCTAACTTCTGTTAATTTGTATATATTATTATAATTATTTATTTATTATTATTTTATTTTATTTTTTTTGGGGGGGGGGGGGGTGTGGATTTGAGATGTCAACTTAGTTGGAGCCATGGTCTTCATTTGAACCCTATCATATAATAAATAAAATCTGCTCCAATGTACGTACCAAATAGAGAGTGAAAAAAAAAAAATTGAAGTCCTTTTAACCATTTAAAAGAATATGATCCACATGCAGCACTAGTAGTTATCATGAGAAACTGACTTTATCTTAAAGGGAACAAAAATAATGAGAGCAACAAGTAAACCCACAGCCACGACTGAATTTAATGATAATCATATTTGGGCATTTCGTTTTATTTTATTTTTGAGAAGTGTCGTTGTTATTCTTATGCATTCTAGATTTAGTATAATAGCTTGTAAATCACAAAGAAAATGGCATCGAGAACAGCAGCTCAATCAACACAGCCACCACCGAAGTGACATTATTATCATACCACAACAAAAAAAACTTTAATGAAGTCCATCTCAGGGAAGTATTACAAGATTTTTCAAATGATTTGAAATTTGTAGTTGAATTGTGAGGTGATTTGATTAGTGACATTTTAGAGAGAGATATTGTTATTTAAAAGGGATTGGAGCTCTATTAACAATTATATAGACGGTTCTAAAAATATCACAATCAAATCACTTAAAGGGTAGTTGCATATTTATATCAATAGTACTAAACTAATTTGCAACCTGGACAAAATAATAACGTACTAGTTATAACACGTTAAATTACATTGATAATCTTTAAAAACTTGTACCATTATCATATACAACTGAAATGCTCAGGCTGAAAAGTAATTTCCTCAAGTGAGTTAATTGGTCACATTGAATTTTCTACTTACTTATCAAACACTCGAAAAATATACGGGAAAATAACTTGTAAAACGTGTTCTCCTTTGCTACCAAACACACTCAACGAATCAAATGAGGAAGAAAAAAGAAAGGCCTATAAAGGTGAAGTTAAAGACATGTTGTCACGTAGTGGGGATGTAGCTAGTAACCAGGCATTCCTCTCATGGGTTGTAACGAACCTAGCTGGACAAAAGGGACCATTATCATTCACTTCTTTTTGCTAATCGACAAGAGTTAGTAGAGATAATTCCATCTTGCATAAAAAATGATTCCAAAACTTACTGTACCATAGGAACAAGAAACAAGTAAGAATTGACAACATGATCATTTTGACAGATAAAAACATCAATGGTTATGTTCCCACCTCTTGGTTGAGTTTGATACTAGCTTTCAAGAAATATCTTGGTTGCTTTTCCTGTACTAAGAGATCATTGGAATACAGCTGGTATTTTAAACAGATCACCAAGGTTAAACCTAAGCAACTAACAAATAATACTACTACTATTTACACTTGAATAGACTATAGAGAAAGCAGTTTCTTTAGGAGAGGAAACTTATGTTGCCGGCTTTAAGCATTTGACAAAGTAAACAATCTTCAAACGTACTAACAAGAGGAGTTTGGCTGCTCCTGTGCCGAATTATCACATAAGTTACAAGCATATCACAATTCCAAGTCCCAGCAAATTCTCATAAGAAAATATTAACTCGTCTTCGAGAATCTTCAAATTATTTCTATAAAAACAAAATGAAATGATCCAGGCATTCTAGGAGGGGTTAAGAGGGTGCGGAGAGGAAGAGGGGGTTCAAATCCCTTCTCAGTGTGTATAAGTATTTACCTACACTAACATTGCAATGGAGGCAACATTGACAATGAAACACTTCTGCGACAATTGTGTAGCAGAAAAGATAATATAACATAGTTATCTGCAGCAGATAAAATGTAATCTCCAGTTCCTTTATCAAAGATTTTGCAACAATAGATTGTAGCATGGTTTCTCGTAACAAAATAATGGCAAGAGCTCATCTTCATTGCTGTTAAGCTGAAAAGAAAACCTAAACTAATCTGATGCACTTGTATTTTCAGCAGTAACTGAGCATTAATACTCTTCTAATATTTGCAAAATTTTGAACAATGGCATACAAAATATTGCCCATGATAAATTCCAAGGCAGCATTTGAGATGAGAAATTTAAGGTACAGACTCCATCCATATTGGATGAGTAACACCAACTTAAGCTTCTTTCAGGAGATAACAATCACCTAAATGCATTTCCATTCTGAAGAAATAAGGTACCTTTTAAAGTGTACCAATATAAACTACACATGTTTATATCGTCGAACTGTCATGGTGGTGAATGTTCCATAGCCAATTTTTTAGGCTGATAGAACCAGATTAGATTTAGAAACACTCACAAAGTCCATACAGTGGACCAGAATATCTCACATAGGGAAGAAACTTGACGGAAGGGCTACATTTCAACTTACAAGCCAAAAAACATGAATATAAAGGCAAAGAGCTTTTCAAGAAAATTTTCTTGAACAAGTTACGGCCATTCAAGCCCGGTACAACAAAGAACGAAAGAGAACAGCTCATATGGCATTTCTGACGATTTTGCTTCAGAGAAACAAATTTTTTTCCCAGAAATAAAGTTAACCTGGTAATTATTCATAATTCAAAACTGATAATTGGTCACCACAGGGTGCTAAAAAAACCTACACATCTTTTATTGTCTCCGTCAAATAAAAGCAGTAGCATGTCCAATTAACCCTCCAGTGCTGATGCTCCTGATATGATCTCAATCAGCTCTGTGGTGATAGATGCTTGACGGGTTCTGGTTCACAGAAAAATTAGAAGAAGACTGGTTAAAATGACAGACAACAAAGAGCTGATCAACTATCAATATTATAAGTTATCCTCATAATTAAACAATCATATGTGTAAACAAAGTATGCATCTATGAGAGCTTGGCAGTGCAAATGTGTGTGTGATAGAGACAGGGTGAAAAGTAAGACCTGTTGTAAGTAAGAGTGAGACGATCAAGCATGTCACCAGCATTTCTGCTGGAACTATCCATGGCAGACATTCTTGCTCCTTGCTCACTAGTAGCGTTCTCTAGAACTGCATTGTACATCATCTGGAAAAGACAGATTGCCCATTTACCCGATTTTAGAACATCATATTCATTACCTTGACAGAAATCATTTTATTAGCAGTCAATATAATTATCTGAAACACGGTCAAGACTAATTTCATTCTCCCACTACCAAATCAGTACTATTTAGAAGTCGTGAAGATCAAATAACAAGCTTATTAGAGGATTCTAACACTAAAAAGGCGAAACTTACGCATGAGAACTGAAATTCAGTTAGGTTCTGAAGAACTTCAGCCTTTGTCTCAGCACCTTCAATTTCATATAAATCCAAATCTCCAAGCTTTCCACCAGATTCAGCTTCCCTCTCCACAACCTACATTAAACCACAAAGGACTTGTTCCAAGAAACAGACACTCACAATAGAAAGAAACATAGTGAACAAACAAGATCTTTCAGTTTAGGCACCTCAGGAGATAGTACAGTGGACACTGTTGGCAAAAATGAGACAACTGACTGGAATTTATTATAAACAATCCTCAGTGCATCAAATTCAACATTCTTCAAGATGTCATCTGCCATCACAGAAACCTACAAGAGGAATGGCATAAATCAGTAGAAGGAAAAGGTTATAGAAATCAATATAAATAGTTGTTGCTATATTTTTTCAGTGCATAAGTATTGCAGCCACTATTAGATTTTCAATTTTTTCACAGAAATTTAAAGTTGCAACAATGCAATCAAACTGTCCGCTTTACACATGTTTTTTTGAAGAAAAGGTAAGTTAGTTTTTACAAGAGTAAAGCTAACAAAAATGTAAATCTGCCAAAGTCGACATTCTGGAAAACAAAAATAAAGAAGAGTGAGACAGCTTTCAAATATCTACTATTTCTGTAACAAAATGCAACACATAAATTATATCACAGGTTCATGAACAGATCTAACAAAAAAAAATGTGAGCCTATACTATATGGACTCAGCTAATGATCTGGTTAAATTAAGGTGTGTGCAAGTATCCTAAAAAAAGGCGGTGTGCAAGTATCCGATACAGGTACATGCAATGTTTGTGTGCAAGCTTCGATAAATGTAAGTTCAGTCCTTCTTAATTATAATACAGGTACATCCAGAGTCTCTGGCTAATTTGCCAGTATTTTCAATATCATGCACAAAGTACCATCACCCATGTCACACCAGCAACAAGGCTACCGTAAGGCAAATGAAAAATCCATGTACCAGAGAGTGAGCCTACAGCCACATCATCTTCAGCAAATAGTTGGCAACAATAAAAAAACAAATAGTAGGTGTGCTTCACACAAAGTAGTAACAAAGAAGATGTAAGGCATCATAACCTGTGTATAGTTAAGAGGATTTTTCTGCAACTCAGTCATGACCAGTTCAATGTCCTTTTTCGAATCTCGCACCAGCTGAGCCTTTGCCTTTTCCCCCAAGACAACATACTTATTTTCCTTATCAGGACCTAGCAATTACAAATAAAGCAATAATGAACTAATTCCTCAAAAATAGATATACTTAATATTAAACAATCTTGAATTATACCAGAATTCAACTTATGCATAGCCCTGCTTATCTTGACAGATGTAGAATTGATTCCACCACAAAGACCTTTGTCTGCGGAAATAGTAACAATAACATTCTTCTTGACATCAATACCTGAAGCAAACATTACACGTGTTACCAGCCAAATATTGAAATCTATGACTGCTTAAAGTTGACTGCATCAAATTACAAACTCCGGTGCAACTAAAGGTATCTCACAAAGTCTCATCAACGACACACATTTCCACAAGATAATTATTCAGTTGTTGCATCAAATACGTAGAACATTGACATTGGACTGCAAATCAAACAGGCAGAGAGAGGCAAACAATTTCATTTAATCATTTTCCCACATTATTCAAGTATGTCAACTCAAAATATTCTGGGAATAGCATTTTCATAATGTGATTCATCCCTATCCTTCCACCACTTTCTCTCTCTAACTGATTCAAGAATTTGGTTAGATCCAGACAATCTAATCATGAACTTACTAGGAGTGTCACCAAGAAGTGCAGTAAATGGCTGCCATAGGCCACGTGAATTTTCAGCTCTAGTTTGAATAGCTCTGAGCTTTGAAGCAGCAACCATCTTCATAGCCTTTGTAATCTTCTGAATATTTTTGACACTCTTCATCCGGTTTCTGACTGCCCAAGGGAATGCTCAATGTGAACACTTAATGTAGCAACAAGAAAATTGGTAGAGAAGATCACGAGAATATAGGAGAGGCAAAGGAAAGTGGGGTGCATCAAACGATTACGGTTAACTCTTACCAACTTGAGTTGAAATACATCGAACTCCTGACAAGACTGGTTCCCTGCATATAAATGTAGGTCATTAAAAAGGTAGAATAGAACATGATTTTTTTGAAAAACAGGACAGGCTAATGGATAATAATATATTAATATATGCTGAGCATGAGCCTGTTATAAATGCAGATAGGGAGATCATCAATCTCCTGTTAATACATACAGGCCCATGGAACAAACTTCATGTCAGTGCAGCAACCCCCGTAATCCATCCAAAAGAAATCACAATTTATAGATATTAGTTGAACTTCATCTATTTCTACAGTTGTTCTCGCTACAACTTCTGTTCCAAAAACCTCTGAATTATGTACTTCTTCCAAGTTCCAAAATCACTATCCAAGCTCAGATCATGTCAATTACAAATCTCTATAGGGTCAAAATTTAAAGCAACCTATTACATTCTGCCCAAATAACTAGTAGTATTTTCTTCAATCTGAAAAAAAAATATACATATTCAATTGTTACAAATATATAATCATTTCACCAACAAATTGAAATCCAGTGGACTTCATACAAGCTTTAACAACATAAACCATCAATTTTTAGGATTTTGAACTGCAGACCACTTTGGGAAGAAAAGGAGAAGCAGCAACAACATTTTAGCGTTTGTCCTGCTTATAGATTGAATAAAAAGCAAGCTACCTCCTTTAACTGAAGAGAAAAGGAGAAATCCCCCCTTGTCAAAGATAACAACACGAATGGTACTAATTCCTCAAACCAAATTACTTCACCAACTGAATAATAAACCTCATAGAGATTTAAAAATTGCTATCCAAAACTCATGAGGTGATTTCAACCCAAAATTGCTAACTGAGGACTCATCGTTGATAAATGTGCTCTTGTACAAAACAAAGCAATTGCCATCTAGTGGTGGCCTAGCGATTGAAGATTCAAAATGGCAACCTTGGGGAACCAAGGTTCAAATTCCGCCAGATGTGAATCCTTCCCATCTACATAAGTCTAGGTGCACGCAAAAACTAGCTCAGGCACCACCATTACAACAAAACAAAAAAGTAGAGCAATCAATCAATTCATTTCCCCTCAGTCCTAAATTATCTGGGATCAACTCTACCAATCATTAATATACATTCCACATCTAATCAGAATAAAAACGACAGAGCCAGATTGACTTAACGAGATAGCTACAAAAAGCAATGCGAGCCATTACTGACAACAGATTCGATGCATAAAATTAAAAAATCATGATAAAAGTGTAGGATTGGAAGAAAACTAACTCAGACGGAATGAGAGAAGAACGAAAAACATTGGCAGGATTGGGAGAAATCAGAGGTGTGGCGAAACGCCTTCCCTCACGCCTCAACGCAGCCATGGCCATAGTTGATCCGATTCGATCTGATCGATACCTTCCTCCTCCGGCTTATCCTCTTCGCAGATCGACCAATTTACGCTAGGGTTTACAGTCGCTTGAAATGTCAGCCGAGACACAGTAAGGATCCGAGTCGCTGCCCCGAAAATGTTTTAAAGCTGATGTAATGCGGCGTCGTTATGTGTTCCGCTACGAATGGGTCAAGTTATTGAAGTACCTGCCCGATTTAGCTTCATACGAAATTTAAGAGAAAAACAAAAAGGAATTTTTAATATTTAAGATATTAAGTATATTTATTTAGTTATAAAAAAAAATGTTTATATATTTATTTATTATCTTAAATAAATAGGTTGTAATATTTATACTGGGAAAGTTTGTCATTTTTATAAGGAAAATTACGTGGTTAAGCAAACTTATACTACTTAATTATTTATCAGCTATAGTTTGTTATAATTACCACTCGCGACTAACATTATATATTAATTACGTGGGCTAACTTCGAGTTTGTATAATTAGTCACGTTTGTATATGTATAATTCGCCAGAATATACAAATACATGTGTATAATATACAATTATCTAACTGATATACATATATAATTCACATCTCTCCCACTCTCTGCCCTCTCTCGCTCGCGTCTCTCCTTCCTCTCCCAATATCTCTTGTCATATATACAAATGCATATGTATAATATACAATTATCTAACCGATATACATATACAATTCACCTTTCTCCCACTCTCCGCCCTCTCTCGCTCGCCTCTCTCCTCCCTCTCTCAATTTCGCTAGCTTCTCTCCTCCCTCTCCCAATCTTGCTCGACTCTCTCCCCCTCTCTCAATCTCACTTTCCATATATACAAATACATATGTATAATATATAGTTATCTAACTGATATACATATACAATTCACATCTCTCCCACTCTCTGCCCTCTCTCGCTCGCCTCTCTCCTCCCTCTCCCAATCTCACTCACCTCTCTCCTCCCTATAACAGGTAGCTACGAATTGTAATTATCAAATTATAGTTATAAAGCGTAATTAGACTATTTTTGAGTGACTGTATGAAATTTCTTCTTTTTATAAGTACTAGAAAAGGGGAAGCCCGTGCGGATTATTATTATTTGAAATTTGTAATTTTTATTCGTGATATTTTTTTATTTTTAAAACACAATAATATTTTTTTTCTACTAATAATATCAACAACCTAACATTAACATTAGAAATCAAAGAGAATGTATGAATAAAAAGATCGAGAAATAATAAGCAAATGTATTTCTTAGTTAATAATAATAAAATATGATAGAATTTTGGACAATTAAACCAAAAGTTTAAATTTAAATCACATGGGTATTTGCTACATTTTAAGTATATTTATTTAGTATGATTTTTTTGATAATGTAAATTTAAAAATATGCATAATTAATACATGTATAAATTATAAAAAATTATATATTTTTTTAAGTAAGAGAGAAGATGGAATAATTAAAAAAAGAAACAAGTAATACATAAATTATTAATTTTCTTAATTAATATTTATTTAAAATTACATAATTAGCATATCAAGGTTTTTTTTTTTTTTCTTATCATATTTTACCCTCAACATTAATTACTTATTTCAAATCATTTTTAAAAACCTATAGTTATGTCAATTAATATAAATATATGGTAAAATAGTCATATCAATAAAAATTTAAGAGGCATACAAAATTTAAAATGAACAAATGGAAGAAATTGCAAATATTCACTTGGTCCACAATTGGAAGGTAAATGGACAATATTCAAGTAGCCCCAATGTTTTTTGCTATGTAAATATGTATAAGCAATACAATTGCAAATTAATAGAAGTAGGCCCAATTTTATTTGAAATGTAATAAGCAAGCAAGCATGTTGACGGAATATTGCTTGCTTATTCACATCTCTTATATAGTAATAATAATGAAAGGTTTATACTTAGATTACTTTTAAATTTAGAATTTTATTATTTTTGGACTTAATAAATTGAAGAAAGAAATCAAACTCCAATTGGTACTCGAACTTAGAATGCAAATTTATTAACATAACACATAAGAAATGTCACTTTATAAAAATAAATTAAAAACAAAATCATGTCACACAAACTGAATATATGAAGTGTGATATTCAGTCTGTTTGAATTTTTTTACCTTCATTTCTACCTTTGTTTTATGTGTTATGTTACCAAACTTGCATTTTGAGTACTCTGTTTTAGTCCTACTTAACTGAAAATCTTTAGATTCTAGGATATGTTTTCAAACTCCATTATATTGTTAACTCCAATCTGTATCATTAATTAATACAGGTCATCTGCAAACAATATGCACTATGACACATCTCCTTTAATATGTCACATTAATTTATCTATCACTGATGTAAATGAAAACGGATAAAGGATGATCTCTAGTGTGATCCCATCATAATTGAACATTGTTACGAGTCATTCCATTTATTCTTAATTACTTAAAACCCGGTGTCATCATACATATCATTAATGGTCATGATGTGAGACACGAGTACATCTTTAGATTTCAAACATCTCCTTGAACCTCTTTAGAAATTTTATCATGTCTTTTTGAGGTCATGAACACCATGTAGAAGTCTTTTCTTATCCCATAATGCTCCAACATTCTTCTTACAAGATGAGTGACTTTTGTTCGCCCCAACATAAATCTCAATTGGTTCTTGGAGATAGAACACCCCTCCGCATCCTTATATGGACCACTCTTTATCAATTTTTCACAGTTTGTCTTAGTAGCTTAGTTTCTTTGTAGTTATTGTAATTTTGAATATTACCTTTGCTTTTGTACAACAAAATCATTGTGCTCCATCTTCACTTTTTTGAAATTCCAACAATCTAAAAATAATAATAAACTCAATTAATCACTTTAAAACTACTTCGCGTGTGTTCTTCAAAATTCCATCGGAATATCAAATAGTTTGATCCCTCTTCTCTTCAACTTCTTTGAAATTGCATCCTTAAGTTTCATTCACACACATTATGTACCTACCCTAGTAAAAAATTGCATGACTCTCCGATTGCTCTAACTCTTTCATCTCAATATTCATGTCTCTCTCCCCATTTAAGAGCTTGTGAAAGCATGTTCATCATCTTTGTCTTATGTGTGTCTATTCTATCAATATTTCTTTTTCTCGTCACAAATGCATTGATTGAATTTAAGTCACAAATTCTTATTTCTTGCCTCGACGAGCATATACAATTTTTTCCGTCAAAACCCCTTTTTACTTAATTCTTTACTTTTTTTGTATTAGTTGTATAGATTTATATTTAGGTATTTAGTTTCAGTATAATGTTTATGTATATCAATCGAGAATTGTTCATCCCATACCCCTTTACTATTTTTATTTTGTTTTCCAAGCTACAATACATTTTATTTTCGTGAAATATTTGATTTGAAGAAAAACTTTATACTATAAAGAATGTTTTCAAATAATTTATGTTGAATTCTTTTCGAATAACGTTTTCAAATAATTTTGTTGAACTTTTTTATCCAGATTCCAAACTTTTCAAAAATTTATGTTGCAAAATAAAGTATAAAATAGAATAACCGAGTTATATTATTTTAATCCGTATATACTACTCATACTAAGTACTCGACGATAGGCATAGGATTAAATAAGGTATTGATTGGTATTCGGTATCGAATAGTCATTTATTAAATTAGCTATTCTATTTTTTTAAATATAAAATAATTAATTTCAATATTTTAGTATATATTTCAAGTAGGAGATAAATTAAATCAAGAGTTTAACCAAAGTAATTTAGGAGTTGGTATTTGATAATTGTTTGATTCATATTTGGTAATAATTTATATTGGAATAAATTTCTTAATTGTGATTCTAATCGAATTTGGTTTTGTAATAAATTTCTTAATCCTAATCCTAATCAAATTTGATTTTGTAGTGTTATAAAAACGTTTGCTCCATCAATTTTTTTTCTTATAGTGAAAATTTAAGAGTCATCGAATAAAAACTCTGGCCTCTTATTTGATTTTTCGTTTTTTTTTTTTGGTATTGGATTTTTCGTTTATAAACTATACAACCATGTTTTGGCCATGGCTGTTGGAGTCTGTTCTCAACAAGGTACCATTTGCCCTTTGCAGCCAAACAGCCCCTAACCGACCAACCTAAACCTACTGCTCTTTCTTTCCCGGGGATAACGGCATTGTCGTCGGAGAAAAGATGCTTCTACGAGGTCCTCGGCGTGAACTGTGACTGTACCGCCGACGAGATCAGGTAGGCTTTCAGGAAGCTTGCCCTGCAACGCCATCCTGACAAGCTTGTCCGATCCGGCGTGCCGGAATATGAAGCAATCGCTATATTTCAGGAGCTTGTGAACGCTAACGATGTTCTCTCAGACGCGCAGCGCGCTTGGTACGATTCGCAACGCTCTGCCTATCAGATATTCTTCTCCAATTCCGATCCAAAGAATTCGTCTAATTACTCTGGTTCCGTCCCCGATCTGTCCTCCTTTTCTAATTCAGTGTATTCTGGATATTACGATAAAAGGACAGGATTCTACAAGGTGTATGGTGATCTCTTCTAGAAAATCTACCAACATGAGTTGAATTTGGCTAGGAAGTTAGGTACAAATTTGCCAGAAGAAGCTCCTATTATGGGAAAATATGCAGAGTCCTAAGCTCAGGTTACAGCATTCTATAACTATTGGTTATAATTCGCTACTGTGAATGATTTTTGTCAGGAAGATGAGTACAAATTGACTTTGGCGTCGGACAGAAATTCCAGACGGATGATGGAGGATGTGAACAAGATGCTGCGGAAAAAGGCGAAAAGGGATTACAATGTGACTGTTAGAGGATTGGCGGAGTTTGTTAAAAGGAGAGATAAGAGAGTGATTGAGATGCAGATTAAGAGGAATGAGGAACTGGAGAAGAAAAATGAAGAGGGACGCAAGAGAATGGAGGAGTTGGAAAGAGAGAAGGCTGAGAGAGCGAGAAATTACGTAGAGCCTGAGTGGTTGAGAACAGAGGAATTACAAGATGGAGAAATTGAGGAGGAGCAGGGAGAAGAGAAGGAATTGTACTGTGTGGTGTGTGGGAAGAAGTTCAAGAGTGAGAAACAATGGATAAATCAAGAAGCATAAGGAAAATGAGAAGATGGCAGCTTTGAGATGACGAAGATGATGATTGGTGGAGCAAGTAGCCTGCATGTGGAATCCGACTGAATCATGAGATTATAATTTTTTTTTGTTTTGACTATTTTATTTGTTAATACAGTCCTGAATCAAACTCACTTTCAAACTTTTAGAAATTTGTTACTCTCCGTCTCAATTTATGTGGCATATTTTAAATTGAGATTTAAATAAATTTATTTTTTATTATAAATTTTTCATATATCTTTTAAATGTTTTGAGTTATCAATTATTGTGACTTATAATACTTTTTAGTACTAATTTATAAATATATAAATTTCATTTCATTAAAATTGAAAATTTCATGCGCAAATTTTCAGTCAAACTTAAATTGTTTGACTCCCGAAAAATAAAAAATGTCATAAATTGAGATAAATAGAATAATTTTTGGCCTTACATAATAATGATATTTTTTATTTGAAATATATTATGATTTTTTATGACAATAAAACTATGTTGTTAAGATTAAAATATCATTAAATTTATTTTTAAAATTAATAAATAATAAATAATGTCATAAGACAGGAATATATGAAGTGCTAATTGATATATGATATGTTTGGAATTTTTCGTCTTACGCTATACAAGATATTTGAAACTTTTATCTTCTAGATATATAACTCAGTGGCTGATTTTTCACTTCCACCTTTACATTCTTGTGTCACACTACTAAATTTGTATTTCAATTACTTTATTTAGTCTAAGCTTAATCTCACTTTTTTTTTAAAAATAAAAAATTAGGGTATGTTTTCATACTTCTAGTTTATGATAGTTCATTTCTGTTTCGTCAATCAATATTATATCACATGCAAACTATATAAACTACGACACCTTTCCCTTGAATGTTGTGTCATTTCGTCTATCACTATGACAAATAAAAACGGACTAATGGTTGATCTTTGGTGTAATTTTATCATAATCGAAAAGTGTTGTGAATCACCCCGATTATTTTTATCCAAGCCTTAGCTCAATTGTACATGTCATTAATGGCTTTAATATAAGTCACAAGTACATCTCTAAACTTCAAACGTTTCCATGAAACCTCTTTAGAAACTTTATGTCGTTAAGACTCAGGGCCGACTCAACAACATTGGAAGCCTAAAGCCAAACTTAAGAGAGGGGCCATAATATTTAATTTTTTTCATTATATATACTTTTATCTAAAATCTACTTATCTAGCTATTTTAGATGCGAAGTCATTAGGTACTGTTTTATAATCAATTTGTTTTAATAATTAATTTTCAAATGATAATATAGCTAATTCACTCAATCTCTCGTGAGACATTGTTGATCTTAAAGAAGATTTAATCAATTTTAATTTCGAAAAAACTTCTTTCGGCTGGGGCAATAGTTACAGGAATTGTTAACATTATTCTATAAGCAATATGTGTATTTGGTAAAGAACAAAGTTTTTTTGTTTGATAGGGTATTTTCATTAGATCATTATCCTCTACTTGTATTATTTCCCTTAACACTTTTAATTTAAAAAATAAATCTAAACCATCAATATTAGAATAACTATTACGTGTTAAAGAGAGTTCAAGGTTAAGACAATATTTTTTAAAAAAATTCTCATCATCTAGTGATCTCAATATTTTACCACTAAATAAGAAATCAAAAATATTTCCATATCCTTCAGTTGGTTCAAATATATTTTGAAGTGAAAAAATAGCTTGATCTACTCTACATATATAAAGCAATTAACTCTAAAAGATTCTTCAAGGGACTTTGTGATTTCGCTATTCATATTTTCATCAAAGTGTTTCTTACGAAATTCAGGTTTATTTTCATCTCATATGCAATTTTCTTAGTAGAAATCATAACACTCATAGTACATATAATTTTTTTCTAAAATAAAATATATAAGTAATTATTTTTAAAAAATGGGCCCCCCAAAATATATGGGGCCTTATGACTTTAGTGGCCTAGGGGTTAAGACTACAATATAAGAAATGACATTTTATAAAAATAAATAAAATAAGTAAAAATTAAAGGAATCACATAGTGTAGGATATAAATTACATCCTATCCCAACTAAATTACATTTTACAAAAAATCCCTTAAAAAGGTAGGCGAATGATACATAGCTACAGTGTTGATACATTGTCATTGATACACGCTAAATAACTGAATGTCGCGCTAAAAAGGAAAAAAAAATGTAATAATTAAGTCTGTTAATTTAATTAGCTTTATTTACGCCTAATTGATCCTAAACATTCCTTATCTTAATAGGTAATCTACTCAGACATTACAAAATTTTAAATTTCAAAATTATATCTTCTACATTGAAGAACAATTTGTGAACATCCATCCATTTAGAAAAAGATAGAAATACGAATAAAGCTCTGATTTTTTGCTGATACAAGATGAATATATCAATTTTACTGAGGCATTCATGAATTTGGGTCAGTGAAGTGAAATATACATGCTACCTGACTTTAACAGAATCGTATTATAAAACTTGATACATTATACAGAAGGATGCCCTGTATGATATCAAACTAAGTTAGGGTTTTTGAATGTATCATGATTTAACCCAATAAACAATATTACACATCCAATTAATGTATCAGTCAATTTCAGTCTACGATATCAAACGCAATACAAATCAGAAACAAGTTTAATAAAGATTAAAAACACATACTCTAGGCAATGCAGGTCTGGAAATAGTGGGTGCTGTTTTTCTTCCCTTTTTTTGGGGGGATTTTTGCAACCTTTGGTTTAGACGATTTTGGCACATCTTTGGTTGACTGATTAATCAAGTTTAATGGGTCATGCAAACTTTTTGATCTAATTTTTGCCCAATTTTCATCATCAGAGTCGTATATTGTTCGATTAGTATTAGAAAGATTTGATGTAGGATCAGGATCAATATGTATCAAGAAGAAGAAATCGAAACAAAATAAAAATTGAAGGAAGAAGATGAAAGCTACAATGGCAGACTTTGGGAGAGATGACGGAGAAGACAAAGTTTGAAAAGGGTTGGATTGAGAGATAAAATTTTTGAAAATCAATTTGGGATAATGATTTGTAACTGAAAAAATATTGGAGTGAATTTAGGGAGAAAAAAAAAGAGTGACATAGGGAGTGGTGAAACGTGGGAGGTAAAAAATAATCATGTATTCGACAGATTTGATATTTAAGTGAAATAAGGGATTTAAGTAATTTTTTTAAAAAGTAGGAAATAATAAATAATAAGGAACTTAAAGTTGTGTATTTAAGTTATTTTTCCATAAAATAATGTCAGACGAATGGATTATATTAAGTGTTAATTGATATTCGGTCTTTTTTGAGAAAATTTACCTTAGATTGCAAAGTCAACATACTTGAAACTTTCTTTTCTTGGCATAACTTGTATGTCCGTCTTCACTTTTACCTTTGTTTTGTGTGTTATGTTACTAAATTTGCATTTTAAGTACTCTGATTTAGTCTGGCTTAACTTAAAAAATTTAGATTTTAGGATATGTTTTCAAACTCTCATTATATTATTAACTCCAATTTGTATCGTTAATTAATACTATGTCATCTGCAAATAATATGCATTGTGACACATCTCTTTGAATATATTGCGTTAATTTATCTATCACTAATGTAAATGAAAACGGAAGAAGGGTTGATCTCGTAACCCCATCATAATTAAAAGGAAAAAAAGTTTGAAATATATTCGAACTTTGACAGAAATTATTGTAACAATCCTAAACTTTGGGAATGACCTTTTACCCTCCTGCACTATTTAATAGTGTATTTTAAAGATATATATGTGTCTACATAGACTTCATAAATATTGCATCATTATAAATAGTAACTTGTCCACGTGGGCATAATTAGATATAACATTTTAACTTTTATATATAGAAATTACATCATGGTTTTTATTTGAGATAAGTAGTAATAATCAATAATGAAGAAACAAAGTATTATAATTACTATTTGAGAAATATCATTACACCAATAATAAAAAATATGACTTAAAGCAAAAAAGGTTCAAAAAAATAAATTAAAAAGGTTTGGGCCTACTTTTTATGCCGTTTATGCCTAGGACTTACGTTTTTATGCTCGAGGTTTACGCCTCAAATTTTAGAACTTACGCCTTATGAATCTACGTCTTTAGTTTATGCTCGGAGTGTTTTCGGTACGCCCCGCTCCGAAACTCGCCTTGAGACTCGCCCCAAAAACATTTTTGAAAACATTGGTTTAGATATCTAGGTATTACTAGCTTTTTTAATGTATATGACTTGGTGGTAAATATCGTAATAGCTTATTTGTATAGTTTTGAGCTATTGGTACTTAATATTACCTGGTATTACTGTAGTTCTTATTTTTGATATTTCGTATCGTCAATTGATTACTCTATTTCAATTATTGCACTATTTTGTTGGTAACGTGTTAGTTCCTATGTTTTGTACACGGTTCTTTTTTCTTCGTATTTGGATTTGCTACACTTGAATTGAAAAAAACCTCTCTACCTTCACAAGATTTGTACGCTCTATCCTTTTCAGACCACACTTGTGAAATTTCACTGGTATATCTCTTGCCTAATATATAAACCATGTTTTGGACATGATTTTTGGAGTCCGTTCTAAGCACGGTACCATTACCCTTTCCTACCAAACAGCCCCTAAGCGACCAACCTCCTTTTTTTTTTCCAATCCAAAAACCCTAATAATCCCCCTGCTTCAGGCGCTAACCAAACAGGAGGAAAGAAACCTAATATTCTTTCTTTCCCGGCGATAATGGCGTCGTCGTCGGAGAAAAGGTGCCTATACGAGGTTCTCGGCGTGAGCCGTGACTGCACGGCCGATGAGATCAGGTCCGCTTACAGAAAGCTAGCGCTGCAACGCCACCCTGACAAGCTTGTTCGATCTGGCGTGCCGGAATCCGAAGCAACAGCTTCTTTTCAGGAGCTTGTGAATGCTTACGAGGTTCTATCGGACGCACGGGAGCGCGCTTGGTACGATTCGCACCGTTCTCAGATACTTTTCTCCAATTCCGGTCCAGGGAATTCGTCTAACTCTGGTTCTGTCCCCGACCTGTTCTCCTTCTTTTCAAATTCAGTGTATTCTGGATATTCAGATAAAGGGAAGGGATTTTACAAGGTGTATGGTGATCTCTTCGAGAAAATCTACCAACACGATTTAAATTTCGCGAGGAAGTTAGGTACAGATTTGCCAAAAGAAGCTCCTCTCATGGGAAATTTGGAGAGTCCTTATGCTCAGGTGACTGCATTCTATAGCTATTGGCTAGGATTCGTTACTGTGATGGACTATTGTTGGGCAGATCAGTATGACGTGATGGCAGGACCTAATAGAAAGTCCAGGCGGGTGATGGAGGATGAGAACAAGAAGCTGAGGAAAAAGGCGCGAAGGGAATACAATGAGACTGTTAGAGGATTAGCAGAGTTTGTGAAAAAGAGAGATAAGAGAGTGATTGACATGCAGATGAAGAGGAACGAGGAAATGGAGAAGAAAAAGGAAGAGGAACGCAAGAGAAGGAAGGAGCTGGAGAGAGAGAAGGCTGAGAGAGCAAGAAATTACGTAGAGCCTGAGTGGACGAAAGCAGAGGAGTTAGAAGATGATGGAATTGAGGAGGAATCGGACGAGGACGAGAAAAAGAAGGCAGATGAGAATGAATTGTACTGTGTGGTGTGTTCGAAGAAGTTCAAGAGCGAGAAACAGTGGAAAAATCACGAGCAGTCCAAAAAGCATAAGGAGAAGGTGTCAGCTTTGAGAGAAGCTTTTGACGAGGAAGATGATGAATATGATGGGGTGGTGGAGGATGATGAAAGTGAGGAGCAAAATGTAGCTGATGCTGATAGAACAACTGATTTATCTGCTGATGATGGTGTGGATGAGTTAGCAGAGCATTTAAAAGGTAGTACACGAATTCAAGAAGATGAGCTCGAGGATGATGAGGTTCAGAGCAGCGATGAAGATGAGAGCACTAATTATCAAACTGGCAGTAATTTAAAGGGAGTGACTGATGAACTTGTATTAGATGATGATGAAGCTAGTGTACTTGAAGCTATGATATCTGGCCGCAAAAGTAGGAAGAATGCAGTTCCAGGCCGTAGTCGTCAAACTTCAGCAAAAAATGAAACCAGTAATGATGAAATGGACTTCATGGAATATAATAATCTTAGAAGTAATAGGAGAAATAGGGGTGGCAGGAAACAAAGAAACAGGAGACCACAAGAAGAAGAAGAATCAGGAGGAGGAGGAGATGTAGGATCTCATGTGACTGAAGTTGATACTGGAGTCAAGGTAAATAGTGCAAAAAATGATAGCTCAGCTTGCCAGGGGCTGTCATCCCAGTCTTCAGCAGAAACTGCAAATGATCACAAAGGAGATGATGTTTCAGGAAACAGTGAAAAAGTTCCAAGTCAAGATACAAACAAGAAAACTACCACAAAGAAAGACAAAAACAACAAATCAAAAGATACAACCAAAGATGCAACCAAAGGAAGGAAACAAAAGGTACTCAAATAAGATAATCCTGACTAGTTTGATGTCAATCTCTTTTTCCTATCCACATTTTTGAGAATTTACAACTCCATTTCCACAGTTATCTACTCCTCCTGTTTCAAGTGAATCTTTTAAGAACCTTATATTAGTTGTCTTGTGATGTGGTTGTGAATGAAACCAAGCTTTGGAATTATGTGTTATAACACAGTTTCATTTGGATTTAGGGAAAATCGAAATCTTCTAGCAACTTGTGTGATACATGTGGGGAGGAATTCGATTCAAGGTGCAGGCTCAGTCATGAATCTTTGTTTTGATTAATGAGTTTATATTTCCTCTTCTTTTCCATATCTAATAATCTGCTTCTCCCCACAGGAATCAATTACACAAGCATCTAGGATCAACAGGGCATGCTAAACTAAAATCGCGGTGATGTTGTTCAAGCGGATTGCTGGATGGTTGGGGTGGATTATTTGTTCCTTATTCTTTATGGTTTATAGATCATTTTGTACTATTTAGAATCATCATTTTATACCATATTCAAATGAGTTGGAAAAACCGAAGAATTTTGTATCTTGACAGTAGATTACACTTAATTGATGGGTCTAAATACCTGGGCTCAAAATTTTTCCTTTGTCCTTCGATTCAACTGTATGCTCAAAATTCTTGATTTGAACCAATAGACAAGAATTCATATTCAACAGGATCATTTACGTTATGGTTAAATTGAGGCCTTTAGTGGTCTGTCTTCATTTAGAAACTATTCAGCTCTGATGATTTGAAAAAAAAAAGAATTAAATATTAATGCAACTGTGCCATAATTGAATACCAAAGACTGTCGCTTTGAACAACTGCACTTGCAAGTTTCTAAACAACACAATCACACACATTCATTCACAAATACTGGGATCGGCTACTAACTGCCAAATTCAATGGACATGATCAGAGTAGTTTGTGGGCAAAATACATTTCACTGCTAAGCCAAAATATTGCAATGAAAGAAGGAACCAGAAACAATTTACACACAAAAATATACGTTGATCGAACAAGTTATATACACCCTGACCAAATGGTAAGAAGTTGCTTCTGCAAAAAATATGGCACAATAACATTGCTGGTGCATATGTTGCTAGGCATAGTAATCACATAATTATCTAGCAGCTACTCAATACTGCACTCTGAATTCGCACTGTACATACAAACAAGCAGGATAGGGCAGTCACAATGCTCTGCTAGCTGCTTCTTGTATGTAAGTGGTAGCTTCCTCTTCTGATAGCTGCTTCCCTTCCACCAAACCTCTAATCAGAGTATTGGCATATTCTTTAGATGGTTTGCACATACCTACTTTACCTGATTTGAAGCTATCAACATCTGACAGCCGGCATCTGATAGAGAAGCAGAAAAGTGATGGATGAGATTCAGTTGGACAAGAAAATACATAAACGAAAGAGCATACAAAACTAAAGGCAACACGCTTACGTCATTGTCAAAATAGGAATACCATTCTCCTTTCCCAGGTATAGCACATTATGGTACCAGCCATTCTACATGAAAGTCAAACAAAATCATACAATGAGAACAATCATCTAGCTCAGAGTTATGTCAAGAAAAGGCCAGACGTCTGGGGCAGGGGGTAAGAATGAACACTACTAGGATAGGATAAAAACTATTCTGTCCTGTTACTAAGATTCTTACATTCTTTTTTAAAGCAATACTCGTCATCTTTTACTATCAATCAATCAACTACCTCAATCCTAAATCAGCTGGGGTAGACAATATGCGTCATTTATATCCCTTCTGCTCCATTGGTTTCATTTCATTTCAATAGTAAATAAGTTGTTCGGCAAATTTGGGGTTCACTAAATTTCACTCTGAAAAACTAAAATAGAATGGAACTTATCAAACTGTTCAACACCCCCAGACAGTTAACATTCAGACTCAGATTTAGCTCAGGTAAAAGATTTTGTTTATTAAGAAAATGGAAAAATAAATAGAAAAAAAGATGTTGCAAGTTATTAGAGGCTCGAAATTTCTTGGCAGAGGAAACAAACTCAAGATACAAGAGAAACTTATGTTTGCTGTTTTTGACAAAATAACGGACATTTGGAGTGCATAAATTCATCTTTACTTGGGAGTATTTTTTTTGGCATCATCACTTTACTTGACTCAAGATATAGTATTCTTGTTGACAACTTAATAGTTGAGAGATGCGAACACAATTTAAAGTCCGTGATGAGATTGCCACCTATTGAGCTTATCTGGGGGCAAATTCATGGTTTCCTTCCTAGGATTTACTAGTCTTCGGATGATCATCCCTGAGAACTGATGATTCTATGTTGTTTGGCTAATTATGATTCAACAGATCAACAAGGTCATATCTCCCTCATCCCTCCCATATCAGTCCTTTCAGTTCCTTTTTGATGAGGTGAATAGTTCAATTAATTTTTGGAATGTTTTTCTTGAGCTGAGGGTCTATCGGAAACAACCTATCTTCCTTACAAGGTAGGGGTAAAGTCTGCATACACTCTATCATCCCCATATCCCACTTGTGGGATCACTATGGATAAGTTATTATTGTACAAAATCTCACCCTTATCCCTACATGGCTAATTCATTAATACAGGTGTAACGCTGACGGATGCCAGGGAGAGAACATCCTCATGAATTACATACATAAAATTTTCCATCCATCACAACCTGGAATTTATTAGCGACTAATTAGCAGAAAATATATGGTTATATCTTATGCTACCATTGTTTTTATGCCCATTTGAATCTTATAGTTTTTGAACCATTAATACGAGAGTGAAGAGAATAATACTCATGAGAACAATACAGAGTGCATAAAATCACACCTTGACAGCCTCAGCTGGAACACATTTTCTTTCTTCAATAGATTGTAAGTCAGTCATGTCAAACAAAGGGTAATTCATGTCAAAGCTCGAAGTATTCTCTTGAAGTAAAACATCATTAAATTGCTCAAGCCTGTAAAAAGAAAAAAGAATATTAAGTTATAATTCTAAATCACCAAGAGTCGAAGGTCTTTATTAAAAAATGCCAACAAAATGACAAACTCCTAATTACCATGAAAGGAGAAACATTTCAGATAAAGGAAAGAATGACATACGTTATCCTATATAGGCACAAGTAAGCTTTTTCATCACTGTTGCTTTCAGGGTGAAGAAAAGCAACCCCACCCGGACCCCATGTAGATGTATGCTCACGAGCAAAGAATAGGCGATGGGGAAAAGATTCCCATTTGATCTCCTTTGGCTTGCTTTTATCCAACGAACCAATACATGGCTTTCGCATGCCTTCCACCTGGAATGCATAAAAAGAACGTAGAGACACCCTGAAAGGTCAATACTCTTTACCCTTTCATCAGCATCAATCTCATCTTAACATTAAATTAGTTTCATATCATAAGATGCCTGACTAACTGAGAGTCATTAAAGTTTTGCGGAATCATTATGACCCAAATATGTAAAACCATTTCAAGGAGGCAATAAACATGGCAAACGTTTTACACTATTATCTTCTAAGAAATATCCTCACACCATTCAGTTCTAATTGCACTAGGACGCTGTTTCATTTTTTTTAAATCAGTAACTTTGTATCATATCAAGTATCAAAACAGTACTCTGAAACCATATTTACAGTAGAGCTCTAGTGTCTTCCCTCGCTAGCTATAAAGAATCTAGAACGTCTATGATAGACACAAACACAATATCATTAGAGTAAATCTGATTACACCAAAAACATAGCAGTAAGATGAAGTTCAAGTTGATCTTCAACACATTATTCTTTAAGCTATCAAAACATCTGAAATTCCTCTCCTTCCAAATTGTCCACCAGATACAAGCTGGGCAATTCTCCATCTACTCCTATCCTTAGCATGTGAACATGTTCCCTCCCAGCTGCTAAGAGCCTCTGTTATCTTGCTTGGCATTGTCCATGCTATAACCTTAGGGGTTATTTGGTTTGAATACAAGTTATGTTGGGATTAGTTATGCTAGGATAAGTTATGCTGAGATTAGTTATGCTGGGATTAATTTTTATTGCTTGTTTGGTTTGTCATATTCAATCTTGTATTCATAGGATAATTTTTAAGAATAAGTTGTTTGTTTACAAAAATAACTTCCACCTTATTTAGTTTTTTTTTTTTTTTTACATTTTCTTTGCATGCTTTAGTTATTCATTCTTAAAAATAAAATTTCCATCTTATTTAGCTTAAATATTTTTGTGTGTATTCCCATGATTGTGCCATGTGTTTTTAAAATAAAACGTTCATCTTATTTAACTTAAAAATAAAACTTACATCTTATTTAGCTTACATATTTTTGTGTGTGCATATTCATGATTGTGCAGAGTGTTTTTAAAATTAACCTTTCATCTTATTTAACTTAAAAATAAAACTTCCATCTTATTTAGCTTAAAAATAAAACTTCCGTTTTAAGTTTGTTAAAGTAAGAGAAAATTTATTATTAAAGTTATCTACATTTTAATTGATATATAAAATATATTTTTTTACTGAGTAATAAACTATTTAATCAAAAACATGTTTTTAGTAGTGGAGTGAACATTTTAAGAGAAATCAAAATATAAATAAACATAAGAATTAGGCAAATAAATTCAACTTATAATATATTCATAAATAAAAATTGTATTTATAAAATGTAAATTTTTAATAGAAAAATATATTATCATAAAAACAACGAATAATTAAGGTTGTGAAAGTTATTATAAATGTTGTTCAAAATTATGTTAATATACAAGAATATTAATGTGGTGTATAAAAGAGAGTTTAAGGGGGGTTATTTTTGTTATTTTACATCCTTTATCCCAGGATAAGTTATCCTGGGATTACTATTCCACCTCCAGTGCATGACTAATTGTTAATCCTAGGATAAGTTATCTCAACCTTTGCAACCAAACAACAAATTATAGGTCACTCAAAATTTATCATGGGATTAAATCTTCTAATCCATCACACCAAATGAGCCCTTAAGGTTTAGGATGATTCTCCACAAATGAGCTGTGTATAGACAGTGCAGAAATAGATGGTTGACTGTCTCAGCTGTTTCTTTACACAGGAAGCATCTTGAGCACAGTGTCATACCTTTGCTCATCAAGTTGTCCACTGTTAAAGTGGCCTCCTTTGCCAATAACCATACAAAAATTAATGCCTTGTGGGGAACTTTTATCCTCCAAATCTGCTTCCATGGCAAGTTTGCTATCTGGTGGTTGGACTGATTCATAATTTTATAGGCAGCACTGACCTTAAAAATGCCTTGGGAGTTTCCCTGCCACCATAAATGATCTTCACCAGCTTGAACCCCAGGAAATTGATCACGTTTGTTGAGGAAATCAGCCACTCTTTGAACCTCCCAATCATTGAGATGTTCCAATTTGATTTTAGCAGAATACATAGATAGCACCTTAAACTTGACAAAGACATGAAGATTTCCCAGTAAAATGAATTTTCAACCATTTCAAGTAACTATTTATGCTCACGGATTTTAACTTGCAGACTCCTTCCACACCTCTCTCCATTTTCTCAATCCTTTCATAAGTGATGCTGTATTCACCACTCAACACCTACCTTCACAAAAAACCAATACACGGGTGACCTAATTCCTGCTGAGGTGCAGTTTAGAACTCTCAATCTTGGCATTTCTAGGACCAGATTGTTAATCATTAA